TTTTTTATATAGATGCTTTCAATTAAGGTGCTAAATCTGTGCATGTTGAATACGGTCTCGCGATATGCACTGTTGTCCACATGCGCGCATTGCTAGAGCATTGCAGTCGACATGTGTCTTACCGTCTTTCCTACTGTACGGTACTTAATGATCCCAAATACGACAATCAAACCCCTTATACGTCTTGTGGTGTTCTAAACGTCATTTCACGACTGAAATTGGCATGATCATTAGTCTAATTGTAACAGCTGTGATGCGTGCTATCAACCTTTCATTGTGTTATGTAGCAATGTGCACGCTTTCATTTATTGTATGGACAAGGGTTGACATAGTAAAAGCCATCATTGTCCTCTCTACAGTCATTTAAACTTTGGTAAAAAAAAACACTTTCAATGCACACACTTTTATTTGCACCCTAAAGTACAAAATCCACTATTTTGACCCCGGAATTAACGACATTTTACGTGCTGAATAAAAGTGAGTTGCTTGCATAAAGAAAATTTTACATTTAGAAAGGGTGCCATCCGATTTGAATCAGCACATCAAATGGGAATAATTCTGATGTCAAAATAATGTTTGTACATTACAGTGCAAATAAAAGTGCGTGCATTTAAACGTTTGTTCTCACCTATTTCTTGTTCATGAGCACTGGCGCCGATAAGGAGTTGCATTTTTAGCGCCCACATAGCCGTGCAGTAAGGCAACCCACGTGGAAAGCTTCCTTTGCCACCCACCCGTCTGCCACCTGAGCTTTTATTGTTGTCTGATTGGTGCAAAGGGAAGGTTGCTATGTGTTTGCACATTATCTGCGAATAAACCATTAAGTTGAGCTATACTTAACTCGTCCGAAGTCCTTTTCACTGCTGCTACTGCTGCTACTGCTGCTGCTGGATGTGCACAGTGGCTCCTCGCTTTATATCCCTTGACCAGGCCAATAAATCAGATATATGTAGGCTATCAACAAAGACTAGTTCACGAAGCCATCCATATATTCAAACACAGACAATTTAAACCGAGACGACGGTTAGAAACTCAGCAATCATTGGAAAGATGTATCAACCACTTTGGGTCATGACTTGATTTGTGTATTCTTGTCAGCAGTGTGGATGTGTGTAGCGAGGTGCAATGCCCCCCCCCCCCATCCCTACCCCCCTCTCTCCCCCTATCTCTACCCCCTTCTCTCTCTCTCCCCCAAGCTCTACCCCCTTCCTCTCTCCATTGTCTAGCATACTTGAATGGTGCCCCTCGCCTTCAGCTCCACCACTATCTCGCGCTTTACTCCGACATTAGCATTGGCTGCCCCGCCCATGCTGTTGACGCCGCACAGCATCCCCCTCCGACTCACAACTTTGGAAGTCCTTATAAGCAGCAGATGGACAGGAAATATGGAATCTGTGCAGGACCTCCCTGGTGTTAAACCACATTCTTTCCCTTAAGAATGGTGATAGGTGAGGTGCTGCAAGTAACTTTTTTTGATGGAATTAGATAGTGATTGCAGACTGCTGAGGCAGATTCCATCTCCTCAGTCATCCACAAATGACAACGCATCCTCTGGTCCAGAAAAATGTAGTTCAACAGATGTTCTTACTTGGACACAGCATGCATCCATGATCTTGTGTGGATGCGCCGATTATGGAACAGCACATTGGTAATTACTAGCTCATGGGCTGCACAGAAGTCTAGCAGCCTCTTACCGTTATTATCGAGCTTGACTCACTCTATCCCGGTGGCCACTTTAGATTTCTCTATCGGGAGGGGAACCTGGGAAAGGAGGCTACAGCAGGCGTCTGACTCATCGGCCTTGTCTGAATCTCTCCACTGATGTTCATCTTCGGTGGGGGCGAAAGCAACCAACACCATTCCTCGCCTCTTGTTGATGGGGAGGTGAGCAGACAATAGCCTCGGACTTACAGTTTCCCACACCTCGCCACCATGATCTGACACCCTTTCATTCTTTAGTTCAAAATAAATGCCACTCGCTATTTTTGGCACTTTCCTACAAAGATGAAAAACAAAGATCCCTCATTTAGCCTTAACAGACTTGGGGCAAGTGCTGTTAACGAGCACCTATGCAGGCCAGCACAGCACACGAGGGGGTGAGTTGTCAAGACCACGCCCGGCCGCCTTTGTCTCCTTAGTGGTGATGTTTACACATCCCAACAAGTACACATTTGAGACTGAGTTGACATAGGGGAGGCCCAGGACGAGTTCAGATAATTGTCGCTGGTGTTGGCCGTAAACGAGCATCGAACCCGGGTCGCCAGTCTCGTAGCGCAGTGCACTAACCGCTATACTACCGCTCCACTATAACGCACACACACACGAATGACAAACTTGGACATTGCATTCATGTTATTTTATTCCGGTTTTGTTTGGTTACATTATTCCTCCCCCCGTATGTATGTAGGTATGTATGTTGAACTCTTTCACACCATACATAGCCAACTATGCTAATCGAAGGTGCTGGGGAAGAACAAACTAAACACAACATGCAGTTTCATAGAAATGCGTTTTCAATCAATGACGATTTAAACGTTAATAGCTCCGGTGGCGTCCTAATATCGGAAGGAAGAAGCCCATAGAGACCCACAGGGTTTTAGAGACTCCAATAGAACCATAAAGACCCACAGAGCCTTACAGAGACCCAGAGACCCATACTTACATGTAGGTGGAACTACTTTCACACCGATGTAAAGCTTTCGTGACTGCAAGGATTCATCTTCTTTGGTTCTTTCGGTAAAGTCACGTAGAATGAGAATAAAATAATAAATTGATAAAATAACACAATTAAATTCTCACGACGTTTCAGCCACAACACAAGCGGCCTTCATCAGGTGAAGGGACGAGACTGTCTGGAGGACAGCGCTCGAGCAAACACAGCCAAGCTCAGACCGCGACCTTTAAGCTGTGTGAGAAGAAACAGAGCGCCTTGACAAAGGAATTAGCATAGACTAAATTTATTATATTGATGTAATTTAGACTTAGGTTTTTTCATATCGGTTTACTATATGATAGTCGAGTTGTTGTAGCCCCTTTGGCATCCATGTACTAGGTGCCTCTGTAGATGTGTAGGCTTTGACTTTAACATAGCTATTTCTATGACCAGTCACAAGCTAATCCCTCAGTTATTTCAATGCTAAATTCTCCTGTTTGATTTATACTAGGTGCCTCTGTGGATGTGTACGCTTTGACTTTAACATAGCCATTTCTGTGACCAGTCACAAGCTAATCAATCAGCAATTTCAATGCTAAATTCTATGCTAATTCCTTTGTCAAGGTGCTCTGTTTCTTCTCACACAGCTTAAAGGTCGCGGTCTGAGCTTGGCTGTGTTCGCTCCAGCGCTGTCCTCCAAACAGTCTCGTCCCTTCACCTGATGAAGGCCGCTTGTGTTGTGGCCGAAACGTCGTGAGCATTTTATTGCGTTATTTTATTTTATCAATTTATTATTTTATTATCATTCTACGTGACTTTACCGAAAGAACCAAAGAAGATTATTTCGCACCATAGGTAGCCAACCGTGTTAATTGGAGGTGCGGGGCAAGGACAACAAACTAAATACAACAAGCAGTTATAAAATAATGCGTTTTCAATCTAAATGATGATATAACGATTACATAGCTCCAGTGGCTTTCTAATTATCACACGAAAGAGTGTTCCAGGCAACCGCAGAAGCGCATCCGAAAGTACCGCATGATGCGGTGACTATCTTTGTTAAATGGCCAGCCAAAACCTGCCATCACTGCTGCTGTTGCTGCTACGAGGATGACCGGAGTTTGCGTGATGGAGTTTTACCTTCTTTGGCGTGATTGCCACAAATGGTTCATTTATGGCAAGCACTTTTTGTTTGTGTAATGAGTGGTCACCATGTTCTGCTCCTGATCATTATCCCCACCGTGGTAGGGCAGCGACACCGGATTCCGTCAATCATTTTAACTCATGTTTAGGGTGCATTACGCCTGGCTCGTCATACATTACCTGTTGTTTCCTTCCCTCCGCTTCTTGAAGATTCCCACTGTATTCTGTGTTCTTTAATGACATAATAAATGGAGGAGACTCTCGATTATCCGCTCTCATGACGGAGGATGGCTGCGGATAATTCAAAATCACGAATCCAAAAATTTCACCATTTTCCGCGGATCTCTATGCCATAAACCACTATTATAGGTGTTTGAGTTGAGAAAGTTTAGTTTGTTAGTGAACTAAACGTATTGATATTGTTTTATTATAAAAATCCATAAAAAACACTAACTTCAACAGAAGACTCTTCTCACGAAGTGGATGATAGCAGAGCCACGCCAATTAACATCAATCAAACCCCACCACCCACTGTTGTAAAGGTATTGCAACTACTGTACTGTAGAGACGATCACGTGGATTTTGGAGTAATCGAAGTAACATATTTCTTCAGTTTAAACACCGTGTGACTTGTAATAAACATGTCCAAGAATAAAAATGTTTAATAACTGTGTTTATATTTTCATTTTGGGCTTAAGGGAAAATCCACGAGTTATAAATTTACGTCTAAATCTCGGGTATGCAGTTAATTCGCAAAGGTGATAAACCACACATGGATAATCGGGAGTCTACTGTGTATAAAAATACCGTGTTCGCATGCGGAGATTGGCCGAGAGACTGAGTTCACTGAGCAATGTACTATGTAAGAGTGGTTAACAGGAACCTATCGTGTCAATAACAACTCCACACTGCACGTGCGTGCGTGTGCGTGGGTGATATGAAAAAAATATACACGCATAATATAGGCAACGTTTCGTGCTATGGCCCTTAATGGCACTGATAAGGCTACAAACAAACGGTGTTGATGTTGAAACGGAACGCGCAGAGTTAGTTCTGGTTGTATGAGTGAATGAATGTGTGATTGGGTGAGTGTTTGAGTGAATCAGTGTGAGAGTGAGTGACTGAGTGAGTGTATGAGTGACTGAGTGAGAGTAAGTGTCTGATTGAGTGTGTGAGTTAGGTAATTAGTTTGAGTGATTGAGTGAGTGTGTGAGTGAGTAAGTGAACCAGTGGGTGAGTGTCAGAGTGAACCGAGTGAATCAGTGGGTGTATGAGTGACCAAGTTAGTCACTTAGTAAGTGTTTGGGTCAGTGACAGAGTGAGTGAGCAAGTGTGTGCGAGTGACCTGTGTCTGCGACTATTAAAAAAGGGTCGTTTCCCGAAACATCAAACCACTGCAGACACAGCAGCAGTAACAGCAGTAGCAGCAGCAGTGCCATCACTGCTCTTCTATGAGAGTGGGTTTCGGCAGATGTAACTCCCTCGTGAAATCAAAACCAACCAATATGCTTGCCAGGATAGAGCAAACCATGGATCATCCCCTGAGATGCCCTGCAGAAACCACAATGCAGTGCCCAAGATTTGGAGAATGCAAACACCAGAAGCAGTGGCCTGTGGGGAATATTGGGGAAAGACCGTTATAGGTTGGACAGGAGACACGACAATGAAGACTGAGGACGAGGGAGGAGGAGATGGCATGAGGAAGAGGGGGGAGGAAGGGTTAGGAGGCGAAGGAAGGGGGAGGTGAGTGGAGAATTGGGAAGGTGGGAGGAGGAGGTGGGGGAAGGAGGATTAAATCACGTGCAGAGGTACTGGGCGGATTATCGCATTGGAAGGCCTTCCTATTCGTACTTTCATCCAGCAGTCGATTGCTCCTGGCTGTTGATGACAATCATGATGGTTCAGTGATCACCGTATTCCTCCCGATTTTACCCTCATCGCCGCCACCATCTCTACCTCTCTGGCCGCTCACACGTCGCTGGTCAGGATGTGTCAATCGGAGGAAGAGAAGTCCGTGACCTTGACGGAGCACTTTGTGGATGGTTGCTTCCAGGCAACTCTCTTCATCTCCTGGTCTGTGCTATCAGTAGCTGTGAGAAAGGAGAAAGATAAGGGAAAATTAAGGGACACATATGGGAGAGATGAGGGTGAAATAAGGGAGAGATAAGGGAGATATAAGGGAGAGATGAGGGAGAGATACAGGATAGATAAGAGAGATAATGGAGAAGTAAACGAGATATGAGTGAGAGGTAAGGGAAGAATGAAGGCAGAGATGAGAGATAAATAAGACTGAGATAAGGGAGAAATGACACTGGTTATTTGTGTACACGTAGTCGTATAAAGGTATATGCATGCAGGTAGCTGTATACAGGTGTGGTGGCCTCAAGGGGGCCACCGCAGTGTAGAGACAGTGCCGTGTGAGGGGTGGTACTGCGAGGTCGGATCCCGGGCATCGCCAAGAAGGGGGTCGCGTCAGGACGTGACAGCGAGGTGAACCCGAGAGGACACGTGACCGGATGAGGGGGGTAAGGGGGGCCCCCAGTCAGGGGTGAGAGGATCGTGTGATGAGGATCCGGGGTCCCCACGAGGGTTCTGGAAGGGGGCCGTGGCGAGGGCCGGGGCCGTCCACGCCAGGGGAGTTATAAGCGGGATCCCGAGAGGGATCGGCGTTCATCTCTGGAATTAAGTCGTCATCCTCAACCCTCGGACCTCGGTCTTCACGCGTGGACCATGCAGCCAGTTAGCTTTCCTGGTACAACTATAGAATTGTCTCCGAATGTCAGTTTAGTTAGCCGTGGTGGTCACCACCCTATGGTCTTATCCTGTTAGAGTTACCCGTTGTGTTAATAAACGTGTTGCCTCCAAGTACAAGTGTGAGCCTAAGTTGCACACTATATAGGTAGATATAAACAGGTGGTTAATACAGGTAGATGCATACAGGGAGATGTGTACAGGTAGCAGTATTCAGGTAGATACTCACAGTGAGACTGTTGTTGAACCACTCCAATTCCAACCAGCCCGCTGCTGCTGATCACCTGTCAATGACACCATCAACGAGCACAGTAAACCATCATCACCTCATCAAGAAGCACAGAAAAACATCGCTACCTCGTCATGGAGAGCAGTGAACCATCGCCACCTCGTCAAGAAGCACAGTGAACCGTTGTTACCTCAAGGAGCGCAGTAAGCCATCATCACCTCGTCATGGAGCACTGTAAGCCATCGTCACCTCGTCACGGAGCACTGTAAACCATCGTCACCTCGTCAAGGAGCTCAGTGAACCATCGTCGCCTTGTCAAGGAGTGCAGTAAACCATCGTCACCTCGTCAAGGAGAGTAGTAATCTATCGTCACCTCGTCTGTACACAGTCCCAACTATGCCCCAGGCTACACCTCCACTCACCGCCTAGTCTCTATACAGTCCCAGCTCCTCCATTCTACACCACCACTCACCAGCTCGTCTGTACAGTCCCAGCCAATCCCCCAATCTACACTGCCACTCACTGGCTAGTCTGTTCACAGTCCCACCACCCCCCCCCCCCCTCCCAGTCTACACCACCACTTACCGGCTCGTCTTTGCATAGTCCAAGCTTCTTCCTCAGCTCCTTTTGGATCTGGAGCCGAGGAGAGGACATGTGTGTATATATATACATTTACATTGTGAGTCTATGTGTCTCTGTGCGAGTCTATGGGTCTCTGTGCGAGTCTATGGGTCTGTGTGAGGCTATGAGTCTCCGTGTGCGTCTATGGGTCTCTGTGTGAGTCTACGGGGATCTGGGTTAGTCAATGGGTATCTGTGTGAGTCTTTGGGTCTGTGTGGGTCTATGTGTCTCTGTGTGGGTCTATGGGTCTCTGTGTAAGTCTATGGGTCTCTGTGTGCATCTATGGGTGTCTGTGTGAGTATATGGGTGTTTGTGTGAGTCTATGGGTGTCTGTGTGAGTCTATGGGTCTCCCGGGGAGTCTATGGGTCTCCCGGGGAGTCTATAGGTCTCTGTGTGAGTATTGGTCTGTGTAAGTCGATGAGCCTCTCTCTGAGTCCATGGGTCCTCTGTGTGAGTATTGGTCTGTGTGACTCTATGGGTATCTGCGTGAGTCTACATGTGGCCTTGTACACGTGGTTTGTGTACGTGTTATAACCAATAACGTCATAAGGTTGCACTCATTACACACAATGGAACATAGAAACCGTCATCACGTGAACTCCGCCCACCCTCGCAGCAGCCGCTACTTCTGGCTGGCCCATCGGACAAAGATGGTCACTGCATCATCGTGCCTTCAGATGCGCTTCCCGCGCCAGTCCTCCTTCCAATATGAGGACGCCACTGGGAGCTATGCACTTTTAAATCATCTAGATTCGACGAACTCAGTTGTTTGTTGTTGTTGTCGTCGTCGTGTTTAGTTTGTTGTCCTTGCCCCCACACCTCCGATCTGCGCGGTTGGCTTACGAACGGTGCAAAATAACTTTTTTTGTTTTTCCTCTCCATGCAGCAGTCGTGCAGAGTTTCCAGATGCGATTCGCGGATGGTCAAAATCTCAGATAGCAAGTTTGTAAATAGCGAAGGCACACTGTGTACACAACATGTGTACGAAAGATATTTAGGGCACATGTTTGATGTTAGATGTTAAAATGTTTCCAATTAAATGTTTGTTAAATAATGGGCCTGTTAATTGTTCTCATATATGATGCTGGTCTGTGATCTCGGTAGCTGTGGGAGAAGGAGACGGAGGAGAGAGATGAGGGAGAGTTAAGGGATAGATAAAAGAGAGATAAGAAATCTGAGGAATATATGAGAGATAATGGAGAGATAAGACAGTTATAAGGGAGATAAGAAAGATATAAGAGAGAGATATAGGTGTGTCTGGTCACTGTTGCAGATATATGCATATGCCTTTTGGAAGCACACCTTGAAATAGAGTTTCACCATTTCACAAACCCATGGTGGTCGGCTGTTGTGGAGTCGCCCACAATGTGGAGTATCTACTCCATTGTCTCCGAACTTTATTACATTTATTGCTGTCTATTCAGCATACTTGTCTCCCTCGTCGGGATGCGCGAGAGGAGAGGGACAGGACGGACCGTCGGGGAATGCATTCCGGAAAGGTGCAATGATGGATATGGAAATGAAGCCCACCACAAGCGATGTACAGGGTAGTAGCGTGGAGGCGAAGGCTGATAGGTTACTTAAGCGCGGGGTTGAGGCATCACGGTGGACAGGAGATGATAACTACCTTTCACGGTATACAGCTCATGGGTTCGATCCAGACCCTTACGCCACGGTGGCTAGGAGATGGTGACTACCTCTGCTGGTGTACAGGAGGGTCATTGTTTCGATCCCGACCATGATGACGCCTGTTGCATATTTAGAGTTTCCACAGTGCAGCAGTATCGATAAAGTGACGATGTATTTGCAAACGATGTAAAGCGATATGTAAACAGGTGTATTAATGTATTTCGAATGTAAAATATTATTAATATTTTATACAGTGTTAAATATAATTTGTAAGGTAAACGTTTAAAATGAGAAAAATACGAATTTAAGCAAAATGGCAGGTGGCTGAACCTCACTGAAGGCTGGGAACACCACATGGCATGGGACTTGCAATGGGCCGCGTGGGAGATGGAGATGAGACAGAGATGAGATGGAGATGAGACAGAGATGAGATGGAGATGAGACAGAGACAAGGTTGAGACGAGATGGAGACGACACAGAGACAAGATGGAGACGAGATGTAGATGAGATGGAGACGAGATAGAGACCAGATTGAGATGAGACAGAGACAAGGTGGAGACGAGATGAAGATGAGATGGAGACGAGGTGGAGATGAGACAGAGACAAGATGGAGATGAGATTGAGACGACACAGAGACAAGATAGAGACCAGATGGAGATGAGACAGAGACAAGATGGAGACGAAGACGAGACGGAGACGAGATAGAGATGAGATGGAGACAAGACAAATACGAGATGAGATGGAAATAAAATAGAGACGAGATAAAGATGAGGTGGAGACGAAATTGAGAAAAGACAGAGACGAGGCGGAGACAAGATTGAGACAAGACGGAGACAAGATGGAGACAGAGACGAGGCAGAGGCAAGACAGAAACAAGATGGAGATGAGGAGACAAAATAGAGACAATACGGAAAATGAAGTATGTATAAAAGAATGCAGTGTGCTTCCGTACCTCTTTGTCGAAGAGGCAGTCAAACAGCAAGATGAAGAGACCCTGAGTTGAGCAGAGGACACGGGGAGATGCTCGTTACACAGCGACAACCGATAATTGTTTGGCTCCAACGCCATAGAAATCACAACAGAGGTCCAGCTATGTTGAGTGTAACATGTTCAGCCATCAGCAGGTGCATGCAGTGTGTCAATATTTTGTCTGCCGCCTCAAAGCTGGTGAGATTGCCATATAAGAGACCGTCTATGGTGCAATCATCGGCATCAACGTCAGCAGTATCATGGGGGGGGGGGGGGAAAGAGTTAAATAGCTCAGTGAGATTACCTGGTGAAATTAGTTTTTTTGTTGTTATAATAAACATTTATGAAACGTGGTAAAAAAAAGTTAAGCAGGGGGACAGAAGGCAGGCAGCAAACAGCCACAGTTTAATTCTAGATTTAAAGCTTTCGTGACTGCTAGGATCCATACTCTTTGGTTCAATAGAACCAAAGAGTATATCAACATACTCTTTGGTTCTATTGGGTAAAGTCACGTAGGTGAAAATAAAATAACAAAAAATCACGACGTTTCGGCCACAACACAAGCGGCCTTCATCAGGTGAAGGGACCGTACTGTCTGGAGGACAGCACTGGAGTGGAAGAAGCCACGCTTAGATCACGACCTTTAAGCTGTGAGAAGAAAAAGACCACGCGCCTTGACAAAGGAATTAGCATAGAATTTATCATTGAAATGGCTCATTGAAATAGCTAAGTTAAAGTATACACGTCCGCAGAGGTACCCCTTGACAAAGGAATTAGCGCTGGAGTGGAAGAAGCCACACTTAGATCACGACCTTTAAGCTGTGTGAGAAGAAAAGGCCAAGTGCCTTGACAAAGGAATTAGCATATGCTTCTTCCACTCCAGCGCTAATTCCTTTGTCAAGGGGTACCTCTGCGGATGTGTATACTTTAACTTAGCTATTTCAATGAGCCATTTCAATGCTAAATTATATGCTAAATCCTTTGTCAAGCAGCGCTAATTCCTTTGTCAAGGAGTATCTCTGCGGATGTGTATACTTTAACTTAGCTATTTCAATGAGCCATTTCAATGCTAAATTATATGCTAATTCCTTTGTCAAGCAGCGCTAATTCCTTTGTCAAGGGGTACCTCTGCGGATGTGTATACTTTAACTTAGCTATTTCAATGAGCCATTTCAATGCTAAATTATATGCTAATTCCTTTGTCAAGGCGCGCGGTCTTTTTCTTCTCACGCAGCTTAAAGTTCGTGATCTAAGCGTGGCTTCTTCCTCCTCCAGCGCTGTCCTCCAGACAGTCTCGTCCCTTCACCTGATGAAGGCTGCTTGAGTTGTGGCCGAAACGTCGTGATTTTTTGTTATTTTATTTTCACCTACGTGACTTTACCCAATAGAACCAAAGAGTATGGATCCTAGCAGTCACGAAAGCTTTACATCTAGAAGTATAGCCACAGTTTAACCCGGAAAATCAGCAGCTGTCCGAATTATTTCCCAACTGTGGGGTTACTTGGCTGTCACTGCATCATCTGCGGTGACCTGAACTGTCCCGGAATCAACTGGTTCTTGCGGTAAAAGCAACAGCGAAGTGATCTCGCACAGAGGTAATTGGCAGTCACAATTTAAGGCATAATTTCGATTTAAAGCTTTCGTGACTGCAAGGATTAATCTTCTTTGGTTCTTTCGGTAAAGTCACGTAGAATGAGAATAAAATAATAAATTGCTAAATTCTATGCTAATTCCTTTGTCAAGGAGTGCCTCTGCGGATGTGTATACTTTAACTTTAACATAGCCATTTCTGTGACCAGTCACAGGCTAATCACTCAGCCATTTCAATGCTAAATTCTATGCTAATTCCTTTGTCAAGGCGCTTTGTTTCTTCTCACACAGCTTAAAGGTCGTGATCTCAGCGTGGCTTTCTCACTCCAGCGCTGTCCTCCAGACAGTCTCGTCCCCTTCACCTGATGAAGGCCGCTTGTGTTGTGGCCGAAACGTCGTGAGAATATTATTGTGTTATTTTATTTGATCAATTTATTATTTTATTCTCATTCTACGTGGTGACTTTACCGAAAGAACCAAAGAAGATGAATCCTTGCAGTCACGAAAGCTTTAAATCGAAATCATAGTATTATTGAGTATCACAGATCGTTCTCTGCTCTTCATGTCAATGAGTCAGCTCACAGCTCCTGTGCTCTGTGGCGTGTTTGTGAAGGGTTCTTCCGCACTCAAACCACCCATCAACCAGTCCACCCGGTCTGTGAGCTGCACTTGCATACCAGGCGAGGCAGTTAACATCTCCTAGCCACTGTGGCGCCTTCCCCCCCCCCCAACCCCCACCTCTCTCTCACCTGCAGCGAGTTGAGGATGGCAAACAGGTAGTGTAGGGCGAGGCTGCCTCTGCCCCCGGCGCTGAACGCAAAGATCCCGAGGCCCCATGTCACTCCGAGCAGCGGAGTGAGCACGGCTACGCTGCGCACCACCTGCTTCACCCTCACCGCCGGCTTACCCGACATGGCCGCCCCCATGGCGGCGCCACTACGGCACGCCACCTTCTTGACCACCATGGCGAGGACCGCGAGGTTCACGCAGCAGATAACGAACGCTGGCACGACGAAGGCAAGCAGTGCCCGGCTGCGCTTCCAGTCGAGCCAGCAGGCGCCCCCGCGCAAGTACGCCCCCCGTGGGTGAGTCACCACGATCGTGATGACGGCAATCGCGGCCGGCAGGCCATAGCCCAGGGCGAAGGCGAGCGCCCAGATTTGGCGCTCTGTCATGCGGTCGTAGATGATGACGACGAGGTAGAGGAGGAAGAGGCCCTCGCAGAGCATCCAGAAGAAAAGCGACAGGTAGCCGAGGTGCACCAGGAAGGCGATGGTGGCGCACAGCGCTGGGTTGCTGATGGCAGCCGGGGACGCGGCGGCCACGAACCACACGTTGGCGAAAAGGAGCGAGCAGCACAAGTTGACGAGGACGAGGTGGCGCACGCGCGAGTTCTTGTGGCGGCCCGCCGAGCGCCAGGTGGCCGCCTCCACAGCAAGGGCGGCCAGCAGGGAGGCGATTGACACTGCGATGCCAGCGCCGGAAATGGCTGACAGGGTGGGGTCGTCGATGGTGTCGCGAGAGACGAGGATGGAGAAGGAGGTGGTGTGGTTGCACCGGCAGGAGACGAAGCGTCCGTCCACAAGGGGCGTGCCCCCGGCGCCGATAGTGGGAGCCGGGGGGGATGATGTCAGCTGGCAGCCGAAGTCGGACCAGCCGCCCCGCCCATTGTTAAACTGTGAGGGAGGAGAAGGGTGGTGTGAGGCAGTGGGGGTGGGGTGGGGTGCGACGCGTTGGCTAGGAAACGTTAACTCCCTCTCCTGGCATGTGGGAGGACCGTGCGTTCAATCCCAGTTCCTTACGGTGCCTGCTGCTATATATATTTGGAGTCTGTGTGTCGTTCTCCCTGTGGTGGCTGTGTACCGTCCGACTTTCTGTGGGATTCAGGGGGTCCGGTGGACTGGTTCAGGCTCCAGTCACCATGAGGGGTGGACAGTTATCTACTCGGGGCAGGAGACTCCCAAACACGAGGGAGTGGCTCTTATTTTGAACAAAGAATGGAGGTGTGGGAGCATGGTGGTGAGGTATGGGACGCTTGAAGCCAAAATATACTTTGGGCTCGCTTCCCCATGAATGGGAGGCAAGGAATGGTGGTGGTTGCTTATGCCCCCACTGAAGATGAACATCAGTAAAGGGATGCAGTCAAGGCCGATGAGTCAGATGCCTCCTATTATCTCCTGTCACAGGTGCAAGCTCAAGTGGCCCCTCAGGATAAAGTCATCCTGTTTGGTGACTTTAATGCCCGAGTGGGTCATGACACTGTCACCTGGACTGGAGTGATTGGAAGGCATGGGAAAGATCAGCTCATGTGTGCTGCCCATGGACTTGTAATCACCAACACGCTGTTCTGGCATTGGTGCATCCACACAACATCTTGGATGCATGCCGGGTTCAAGAAAAATCATCTACTGGACTATTTAGTGATGGAACAGTGGATGCGAGCCAATGTACTTAACACCAGGACCTACCTACTGAATATCAGCTTGTCATCTCTAAGATGCAGCTGCCATTCTTCCATTCAAGTAGTGGGGGTTCATCTACGACCCCATTCAAACCCAAAGTGGCCTGGTCTCAATCTTGATTTGAAGCTGTCGTGACTGCAGGAATCCATACTCTTTGGTTCTTTCTATTGAGCCCAGAAGAATTCCCTCATCAAACCACTACACCATAGGGCCCGTTGCATCTCCGACCAGCATCACCTAGCCAGTGAGTTGGAGCACGTACACCAAGCCCTCAGGATGAATGGCTACTCGGACCATAAAATCCGCAAAGCTGTCTCCCCAGCCATGTGGAGACAACCTTCTGAGGATCCAACCAAAACCATCACTTTACCATACATAGCAGGGGTTACCAAAAATATTTCCAAAATCTTAAACAAACACAAGATCCGGGTTCGTTTCAACACAGTACACAAAATCCGTGATTTAATCTGTAAAGGATGTGATTCCTGACATGCAATACCCTGGTGTCTACAAACTGAGTTGTGGTTACGGCAGCAGTTACATTGGGGAAACGAAACGACATGTCTCGGACCGCGTTCATGAACACAAGGCAGATCTGAAACACGGTAGGCCAATACCTCTGCCATTGCCGATCATTGTTTTAATGCTGTGGGCTCACACGAAATAGATTTTTCCAAGACGGAGGTACTCTGAAAACCTACCGGCTACTTTCAGAGATTTGTTCATGAAGCCATCCAGATATATAAACACAGACACAACTTCAACCGAGAGGATGGGTACAAACTGAACAATCATTGGAAGGATGTTATTAACCAGGTAAAGTCTTAACTGACTGTGATGTTTCCATCCTACCTGCCTATGTCAGCTGTTATTTCCAACTCTCTGTGTCTCTCTCTCTCTATATGCCTCTCTCTTAGACCTCTCATGATCACCCTCCTCTTCTGCAGTTGCATGCTAATTTCTCACATTAACATCATGCTAATCTCTCACGTTAACATAGCCACTTCCGTGTCCTCGTCTAGGAGCCGCCTTTCCTATCTTACAGTTACATGCAAATTTCTCACGTTAACATCACTAGCCCCGGTCACTTCTTCATGACCCTTGGGCTACACCCATTTCAAACCTTTTAAGACAGTCTGCCTCAGCAGCAGACCATGCTTTCCCACCTGATGACGGATGCGTGTGTTGTGCCAGAAACGTCGTGATTTATTTTTTCTATTATTTTATACCTACGTGACTTTACCGAAAGAACCAAAGAGCATGGCCTGGTCTCAGCTAGCTGATGAAAGTTGCGAGCAGGAATTTCATCATCGCTTGCAGCTGAGGTTGGCATCGCCCCCCCCCCCCCCCCCCCCCCCCACCTCCTGATGCCGATGGAAAATGGGCGAGGTTTAGGATTGTGCCTCATGCAGGAGATGGAGTCTGTCTCAGTAGCCCGTGATTACAAATCACTCTTTAATTCCGTAAAAGAAGTAACTTGCAGGACCACCCCGATTACCATCCTTAGGGGGACAAATATGATCTGATCTCCGACCCCAAGGAAAAGGTTTTCAGGTTTGCTGAGCATTTGCAAGTTCTTGGGGGAGGGAAAATCGCTCAGTCCAGAAAACATAATTGGAAAAAGTGGGGATGACCGTGTTGTGGCTATGGTACCTCAAATATTGGAAGAAGTAGCCACGCCCGTGAGTGGCCGGCTGAAATGCCATCTGTTCAGGAAAAGTGCTAGGCACAGATTATCTCCCAAGCGAACTGCTGAGGGAGGGTGGTATTTGCGTGCAGACTGCCCTATATGACAACATATTAACTGTCTGGACCGCTTGACGGGTTCCGCAGGATTGAAAGGATGCCCTGGTGAACCCCTTTTTATGAAGGGGGGGCAGCATAGACTGGAACAACTAAACGGGCATTTCCTTCCTCCGTGTTCCAAAAAAGGTCCTGGTAAGGATTATTAAACATTGCCTTGCCAGACACACTGAGGAGAGGCTTGCAGAACCCCGATGCGGTTTCAAGCCCAGGGCGCTCCTGCACAAATGCCATATTTTCTGTCCGTCTGCTACAGCAGAGGTGTAGGGAAATCCAAAAGACCTACATCTGTTATTGACCTAGTCAATGCCTATAACGCCATCAACAGGCCTGGGCTCTGGGTTGTTCTTCATGCTTTAGGTGTCCTTGTCTCTCAATTCACAATTATTAAGTGCCTTCATGATGGTGGGCATGCCCGGGTAAAGCTACATGTGCAGGAGTCAGAGACATTCCCTGTTCTTCTTAGGGTGCAACAGGGACGTCCTCTGGTTCTGACATTATTTAACATATTTTCGGCCACGTCAATCGAGAAGCTTCATATGGCTGTACTGGAGGAATCTCCAACTGGTAAAGATACAATGGGAGGCTAATAGATGCCCGGGAGCGGCCCTGGGATGGCTGCCTATTAGTCAATCATGGTATATGTATGCTGATGAGAAGGAGTTGGAGGCGCTGCAGCTTGACCTGCAGTGTGTTACTAAAAGGTTGGGCCTTACCATCTGCACCTCCAAAACTTAGTACCTGCCTGCGTATTTTGTGTCATCAAATACTCAACCCCCTCAACGTTCCTTTAGCGGGGCAGTTGTGGAAAGATTGAAGGAATTTTTATTTCCTGGGCAGTGTGCTTTTAACCAGCTCTGGTTTGACAGCAGAGGTCTCACTCCAAATCAGTCGAGCGACATCATATTTTTATCGACTGCAAAACGCTTATTCGTGTCTCCTGTCCAACTGATATAGTCTTTGACCAATATTTTACACGGGCCACTGCTTTTCAATGTTGGCATTGCTAAATCTTGAGGAGCGCATTGTGGTGCTGCAGGGCATCTCGGGAGATGATCCATGGTTTGCTTCTCCTGACAAGCACATTGTTCAGTTGCACAGAAGCCCCATAATTATATGAGAGTTGCATCTTCCGAAACCCAATCTCAGTCTGTTTAGGCTCCACCATGTGAGCCATTTGGAATTGGAAACAGATGCGAGGTCCTCACTGGGGGTGATTTATTGCCGGATCCATTCAGTAGTTTTGTCACTTGATTTTTTTCATTTCTTTGTTCCAGAGAGAAGTTATCGCAGATTCCAGTGATGTGGTCTGTGGTACAGTATGAGCACAAGAAGCTGAATCTCGATGACAGACGACGGTGCGCTGGCTGATGGCCATGTAGCAGATGATGGACGTCCCACTCTATGACTTTCTGGTCGTGGTAACCTGCTACCCTCCTCCTGATGTGAGAGGGTGTGATGCCAGATAGTGCAAATAGGCATAGAACAGGAGTGGCTCTCAGGCAACCTGATATGATTCTGCACGTGTCATTACTGTGGGTTGAGCGTCCCCATATAGAGCATGCATATTCAGTCACAGAAAAACAAAGTGCCAAGGCAATGGTGCAGTGAGTCGATGGATGTGCTACCCATATTGAATTTGCGAGCTTTCACAGAATGACGTTTCATTTGTTGATCTTGGCTTTGGTATTTAAAGTGTGCTTTTTGTAGCTGAATATACAATCCAATGTTACCCTGAGGTAGACTAGGTGACTGGTGTTCGAGCCTCTGGTCTCCTCAGGTGACTGACATGCAGGTGTCGCTCTGCATCAGGTGTCACTTTGCATCTGTCTCAGGAAGAATGCACCGATTTGGGTTTTCCTTGGGTTGGGGTTGAGATGATTATTTAGGAAGTATTTTGACATCTACGCCAGTGCCTTCTCCAGGATCTTATTTGTGTTCTCGAAATTCCTCTGTTGTGTGGTGATACAGAGGTCATCAACGTAGGTGAACCACTGGAAATCAGCAGGAAGTGGCTGATCGTTGGTGTAGATATTGAATAAAAGTGGGGCGAGCACACTGCCTTGCGGTAAGCCATTATTTTGAGAATGCATCTACTTTTCTTCCCATTTAGTTCCATGTAGAAGCGTCTGTTCTTTAGGATACTGCAAATGATCTGGCTAAGGTCTAGGTCGCCAGTTATGAGGTACAGTTTGTGGATCAAGATGCGGTGTTGAACAGGGTCATATGCAACAGTGAAATAATCAAACGCTACGCTGGTGATCATCTTCTGTTGGTAACCATCTGCGATGTGTTGTGTGAGGTTTAGTCGTTGGCCTGCACAGGATCAGCAAGGTCTGAAGCCCGCTTGGTCTCATATGAGTTTGAGAAGTACCAGAGGTTAAATTCGTTGCAGGATAAGACGTTCGTAGAGTTTGTAAGTGATGCCAAGGAGGGAGATGGGTCTGTAGCTTTTTGATGATTAAAAGTTTTTTCTCTGGTTTGGGCAGAGATATGACTCTTGCCTTCATTAATACTGATGGTATATGTTTACTTGTCATACATGAGTTGCATAGGTGAAGGAGCCAATGCTTTGCAGTGGGTCCAAGATGTTGTATCATCTCAACTAGTATGTCGTCTACTCCTGCTGCCTTTCCCTGTTTAAATAGGCCTATACCGGCTGGCAGATCATCTCTAGTAAATGGGCGGGTTGAGACTTTGGGTAGGGTGCTTGTCAGGCGGTATAATAGAGATATGATGTTCTCCGGTGTTTCTTCTTTGCAACTTTTTTCCAATGTTGAGCAATTGTTGTGCAACCTGGTTGGCAGTAACGTTTGACACGACTGGGGATGTGATATTGTCAACTGGTAGTTTTATTATGGTCACCCAAGCGTTCTCGCTGTCATGTGTCAGATTAGTTTTCATGATTATCTCTCTCCAGGCATTGTGTAGTTCTACTCCTCTGTTGTCTATTAGGTTTTCTCCCAACGTTATAGTGGATTCTGAGAGGGGGACGAGATGGTGTACTTTCTCATAGAGAGCGTACAGCTCAGATGTTGTGCTTGATATGCCTGAGATGTATCTAGTGCTGCAGCCCCTTGGCATGGAGCGCCAGGCAATAATTTTCACAGCCCTCGTGAAATTGTTGTAGTTCTCATGGGACGGAGTGCTGTCCCTGATTGATTCCTCCACTGCGTCTGTGAAGGTTCTCCAATTGTTATTTTCAGGTTGAATCGTCTACGAAATTGGACCCCACTAATGGAATATCTGCACCAGTTAGAAACATTCAGGCTGGCCGACCAACAATGCATCCTGATTTTAACCAGGTTGGATTGTTTTAGGAGCTCACAAATCCTCGTAAAATCTGGACACAGTCCCATCGGTGATCTCCTCCGGCAGGTAAGGCTGTATTGGCTCGGTCGTGTAGCCTGTATGCACAGCCACCGCATGCCCCAACAGCTTTTGTTCGTCCGGAGATAGAGGGAGAAACGAGCGGGCATTGGCTAGATAAGAGATTGCATGATGTGGCATGTTAGGATATGGAGCTGAGTGCAATTGGCAATGACTGGTACCAGCAGTGTAAAAATCGGCCTTTGTGGTTAGACTAATGAAGGACACTGCTCGGCAATTGGAGGCAGTCGCCCTCCAGCAACAATGGAGGTTTGGGAGCTGCACAGTGCAGGTAACGCCTGCAGAGACAGAGCCTTGAGCTCGGAGGCCTTAAAATAAAGAGATCTGAATCTTAGAGATCTCGTTGGAGAGTAAGACACGGATCAAATATCATGGGCCAAACCCACTGAGAGCCTTGTAGGTGAGTAGCAGATTCTCATAGTCCAATCGGTACTGCACTGGTAGGCAGTACAGTTAACAAAATAGCAGATGTGTGTGATGCGCTCACGAGACTATGCAAGAAATATGAGCAGCTGCATTCTGAACGAGCTGGAGTCTACGATTAGACAATAGGGTTCGGATAAGATTTCTGCCAAAATTAAAAAATATATAATTAAAACCATTGAAAACTTAACTAATTTCATTTTAGCAGGTAAGGACCACTGAGCTATGTAGCTCTTTATCAGAAGCGACCCGGCTATCGCAATAATAGCTCAATTAAGTGGCTTATCATCGCGTGAAAATTTATAGCAGCCAAATCATCCAAACTCACGTCGATTCTAAATGTGGAAAGAAAAACCGGAGGACCCGGAGGGAAATCCACATGATTACGGGGAGAGAGAGGCAAACTCCAAATATACAACAGGCATCAGGGTCAGGATCGAACCAACAACCTCCTGCATACGAGGCGAGGTACTTAACATCTCGCCAACCGTTGCTGTATCATACCCTCCCCACAGACAAACGCACCTCCCATTAGCAAGTTTGGCAACGTACGGTGTGAAAAAGTTCAACATACATATGCATGTAACTCTCCACTCACCTGTGTGTCCCAGAAGGTGCATTTAAAGTTGTTACTTTGGGCAACTTTGGGTTCCGTGACTGGGAAGTGGAACCTAATGTCCGTGACACATGCACCACTCTTCGCACAGTTCACAATGGTGCTGAGGACGTAGCTTCCGACTGCGTAGTTCACGCCATTCGCACCGCTCCCGTCGCTCAGCTCTGGGGCGAGTCGAAGCGGCAGGATTCCTGCCAGGGTCCTGTCCCAACACATGCGTGTGTGAGTTGTTCAAATATGGAAATTAGCTCGATATCAAATCGGGGTTGCACAACGGCACATTCGGGGCAATGTTTTTGTTGTTGTGCATTTATTTATGATAATCTCAATTTAATAAAGCACCTTTCATGCGTGTATGTATGCGTGTATGTTGCGTGTATGTATGCGTGTATGTATGGACGCATGTTGGACTGCCTCCAACTGCCCAATAAGACGCTGCTACTTGGCAGTTGGAGGCAGTCACTCTCGAACAACAACAACGAAGGGCAGATGAGCAATGCTCACAACAACAAACGGAACACAGGGTGTCTAAAACGCAGAAAGTTGACACAGTAGGGGGCACCTGCAGGGTCTGTCCCATGACTTCCTGGCAGCGAGCCTTAAACAATTCACGTGGCCTCAAAGTGCACCTGGCCTGGAACAGGTGCAATGGTAACATCACCGTCACTTAGGGTCGAATGGCAAGTATTGGTATGCTGAGCTAATTCCGCACCATACCTATCCAACCGTGGTCATCAGATGTGCTCTCAAAGTGCTGTACGTAAAATCGACTGTACTCACATGTATGGATACAATCTAAGCGAATTGAAAGCTGATAATAACGATATCAATGACTCCACTCAAAATTCCAATAAAATGAAGAACAGAATACAACAGTGAATAATAATTAGAGTAATCCAATCAGGCAACAGGAGAAGCCAATAATAAATAATTGGTTTTCAGATCTTAAGTGACGGGGAAAGTCTGTGTAGTGATTCAATCACAACCGAAATTACTCCACGTCATGGACATGGCGTGCATGACACAGACAATCAGGAAGAAAAAGCAAACCCTCAGATTGGTACTTAACGGGCCTGAAAGGTGATTGGTTAGAGGTAGGGTATTGAAGGGATTGGAGGAGAAATACAAAATGGAAAGATTGGGAAACGGAGGTGATTGACAGGGAGGATGGTTAGAAACCATTAGCAAAAGTAGAAGGTGATTGGCTGTAGAGCTAAACAGAAGCTCAATAACCCTTTGGGAAAGGGGCTTGAGGAACATATAAAGGGAAAGCGAGAGGGTTAGGGTTTATTGGAGTGAAGGGAACCCTTAAAGACCCCCTGTGTGTCTCGTGCTGGAAGAAATATAGACTCCTGTTGTTGAAAACTATAGTGTCGGGTGTCACTACTCCTGTGCAAAGTGGTGAGTTTTAAGACAGTAATTTCAACGGTGAAATAGACACTGAATCCCTGCTGTCCCGAGGAAGTGGATTCCACAAATACGGAGCCTCCGACTACCCGACCAAGCTGTAGAAGAGCAAGGCTTGGGAGCGGCATGGATTGACGGCTTCCCAGATCTCACCGCCTATGCTCCCAACCGTGCCCTTAATTCTCTCGTTTCAGAAGAAGTCATTACTTCAAATTGTTTGCCCCAGAGTGGAGAACCAGTTCACCTATTTTGGTGACTGGAGCCAAAACCAGTGTCTACCCGTGTCTTCCTGTGTCTCCCCGTGTCTCCCGGTGTCTCCCCATGTATCTCTGTATCTCCCTCTATGCCCCCGTGTCTCCCTGTCTCTCCCTGTTCCTCCCTGTTCCTCCCCATACCTCCCAGTGTCCACCTGGACATCCGCTTCAACAAAAGTCCAGGCAGTAACAGGAGTCCCAGTCCTAGCTCCAGACAAAATAATGGCAGCATCTCCCCACCCTTGTGAGCATCTGAACGTTCTGTGTTACCCACCGCAGTAGTTTTTTGCCACCTCTCGAGGCAACAGCGGCTTAACTTAGCCCCCCCCCCACGGCCCTTCCTGGCTCCCCCACCCCCTTAACCTGATTATAATCTCGGGTATCATAGAGCTCTCTTCACTTGATACAGCAATTTTGCTGTGACGGTTTCCACCTGAAGACGGAAGCTTGTGTTGCCTCCGAAACGTCGTGATTTAATTTAGTTATTTTCATTTATTTTATTTTACCTACGTGACTTTACCGAAAAAAACAAAAAGTATAACAGCAGAAGTTTTACCACTGTGCTGTAATAAAGGATAACAATGGACCGCGATGGAATTACCGATCGCGCAGATATTAGCCAATCACGAAAAATGTGTTTTTTTACCATGCATTACTAAACAATGGGATCGCTCGATCCATGCATCGCTCGGCAATTAATTGATGGGGCGAATAACTCATTACAGATAAAGTGTTTGCCACAAGTGAAACACAATACCTTGTTTATCTCGTAAAGGAGCATGAACCATCACCACGTGAACTTCGGCCAATCACGCATTCGCGGCTTTTGGCTAAACATCAACCAAAAATAGTCACCACATAGTACGCTTTAAGATGTGCTTCTGCGGCCGTCTGGAATGCTCTTCCTTCTGATGTTAGGAAGCCACTTTAAGGTCTGCATTGAAACCTCATCGATTTAGCACTGCTTGTGTTTGTTGTCCTTCCCCCCGCACCTCCAATTAGCACGGTTGACTACGTACGGTTCGAAAGAAGTTCAACTTGCGTACAACAGGAGGCCAATGCGGCTCAGCAAGCACTGAGCGGACACAGTGATATCTTTCAGTGAGACTCACGTGAAGAGGATGTTGACGATGTATAAGTCGCCATTGACGACATTCGAAAGTTGCTGGCTATCGATCGTCACGGACGTTGCATCGGCGGCATTCAAAAACGTCTTGGAGTAGGCGCCCTGGGTGCTGTTTCCATAGACCGTGCCCTCCAGCAGGATGTTGGCACTCGTGATGTTGAAGGTCCATTCGTCGTTGCCACCTGCAGGATTGAGGAGGAGTGCCAGAGGGTAGAGGGAGGGTGAGAGGGGGGATGTTTTAGGAAGAAGTCTCTAAGAGAGGAGTGGAGAGAACATTTCGCTAGCCTGGTATGCACGAGGTCGTAGGTTCGAAACCGAGCCTCACCGCGTCCCCCCATGCCACCGAGTGTCTCCCAGTGTATCCCCACACATTTCTGCGCATCTCCTCGAGTCCCTGTGCCTCTCAGCATCTCCCCGTGTCTCCCACCACATCTCTCCGCATCCCCCCTGCCTCCCAGTGTCTCCCCGTGGCTCCCTGTGTCTTCTCGTGTATCCCCGTGCTTCCCTGTCTCCCAGTGTGTCTCCCCTCCCCCCCCCCCGTGTCTTTCTCCCGAATGCTCACGTGTGGCCATGCCCAATCCACTGGTGGTGTTAATCCTCGACATGAAGATCTCGATGCTCTTGAGGAGATCCGCGCTGTTCGACTTGTTCCTCTCCTGGAGTGTCCTCCACAAGTGCGCGTTGCTTCTATTCAGGAGATTGCTCGACGTTTCCAGAAAGTCCTGTTGGGATGTGGCAGGATGGGTTGAGAGCACGGGAGTTGTTGGTGCATCTGTCAGTGTTTGCATCGATAGTCTGTGTTGTGTGTATGGGGAGTGGTAGTGTAGTAGGGGTTAGCGCTACGGACCTGGCGAAGACCCGAGTTCGATTTATCTTTGTTTAACCTGTTACCCTCAGTGCTGGGTGAGGGTGGAAACAGAGAGTCAGACTGGGTGAGTGATGGGTGGGTGTGGTGAGGCTGAAGTGAGTGAGAGTTTGGGGTGTGTATGGCTATGTGTGTGTGTGTGCACCTGGCCTGGCACGGGCGCCGTGGTGACGTCGCCGTCATTGTGGTGAATGGCGGGTATTGTATTGCTATTGTATTTGGGGAAGCAATAGTGTAGCATTTAGTGCACTGTGCTATGAACCTGGCCACTTGAGTTCGATTTACGCTTACAGCCACCAACAACAGTGACGATTACCTGAGTAGGTATTGGGCCTCCCTTAGATCAACTCAGCCTCAAAAAAGTACCTGGTGCGGTGTGTAAACATCGCCCCTGGGGAGACAAAGGCAGCCGGGTGTGGTTGCTGTCCACCCACCCCCTCGTATGTCTTGCTAGCCTTCATAGGTGCTACTCGCTAATGGAACTTGCGCCAATGATATGTTAATGTTATACAAGGGATATTTGTCTTTTATCCTTGTATTTAATAGATCAGTGTGTGCAAGGGGCGAGGTCACCCCTCAATCTAGCGCTAACTTTACCTGTAACCATGGTGGACATACCCATATAAGCTTGTGCTGGAGCCCCTGGGTAGGAGATGCGTCTATGACGCAGTCTGGGTAAGCGGATCCAGATTCTACCCCTCCGTTCGGAGTTTTTTCAAATAAATATTAGGAAAACCACAGAGGCTGGCCATGAGGAATGTCCAAATGCTCACTGCGGAGGAGAGGCTTCCATTTATTTTTCCGGAGATGGACCGATCGATACATCTTGCACTTCTGTGGTATATTTACAGCGATACCTTGACTTTCGTCCACTTGACTTTCGTCGCTTCACTCTTTCGGCCGTTTTCAATTACAACCACATTTCAAATTTCGTCCTATTTCATCCCAAACCTTCCACGATGTTCGTGCCACGTGCCATCTTTTTCGTTCAGTCTTTGAATAGAAGTCGTTCAGTGAGCATATCTCATATTTGCGTTCATTCATATATTATTAATACTGTACTTATTTCTGTGATTATACTGTAAACAATTCATAGTTATTTTGTGATAACATTCTAATACTACAGTGTTTACTTACGCAAGAATACAAATATTTCCAGGAAAATTTTCTTTATTTATTTAGATTTGCTTATTTATTTAGTTTTGTTTATTTATTCTTAAGCTCATTTTTCTTTTATTTCTGTTTATTTAGGTTTCGCAGGTATGTGTTATATAGTTACTCTAGTTATTTGAATGTGCGTTTTTATATTTAACTGTAGATATTGGCATGTACGTTTTTCGCCGGCCAAAATAAATTTGCAAGCTAAATAAGGGCTCTGCTTTGACACTCGTCCATTTTTGACATTCGTCCATGCTCTGTTCTCTAACTAGACGAAAGTTCAAGGTATTCCTGTACAGGAAGTCTGCAGGACTGCCTCCAAGTCGCCGTGAGGGGTGGACAGTTCTCCACTCGGGGCAGGAAACTGCCAAACAAAGGGGAGTGGTAACTTTTGAACAAAAGAATGAATGTGGGAGCGTGGACTCGAGGTGTGTGAGGCTGTTAGTTCCCGGCGATTGTGGGCTCAGTTCCCCATCAAAGGGAGGAGTGGAATGGTGGTGGTGATGGCTTCGGACCTGACTGAAGATCAAGATCGATTTGGGGGAGGATTCAGTGGGAGGTTTGCAGACTCGAGGATTCAGTTTTCTAGTCATTTAAAGAGCCTCGGCACCATACTCGAGCAGCATCTGTCGTTTGCTCACCAGGTGCAAAATATCGTCAGGTCCTGCAATTTACATATCAGGGCTCTACGACACATTTGACTACTGTTGAGGTCTGACGTAGCTAACACGGTGGCGTGCAGCATAGTATCGACATGGCTCGATTATTGCAACTCACTACAGGATGTCTACCAAATCATTACCAAGCTGCAGCATGTACAAAATTATTTGGCGCATGTCGTGACAGATTATTGCAAGATCCCACCATGTCCTTCAAGTTCTGAGCTGCATTGGCTTCCCATTGCTGAATCAGTACATTAAAAGTTCGCAGTCATTACACACAGAGTGCTTGACACAAATGAACCACGATACTTTTGCTGATCTCATCAAGGAACATAAACCATCACGCAAACTCTGGCTAACTATTGAACAAAGATGGTTACTGCATTTCTCACTTTTGGGATGCGCTTACACGGCCGTCTGGAACCTTCTTCCTTTCAATATTATGAAGCCACTGGAGATATGTACTTTTAAATCATCACCAAGATTGACAAACTAATTTCTTGAAAACTGCTTTTTTTTGTTTAGTTTGTTGTCCTTCCCCCACACCTTCACTGAGTATGGTTGGCTACTTACTGTGCGAAAATTCAACATACATAAACTACAATTTACATTATAATTCACAATATGCTATACACTACACTATACACGACACTACACACTACGCTGCACACTACACTATACACTACGGTACACACTACACTTTACACTACTATACACTACACTACTATACACTACACTTATGTCCACTAAAATATACACTACTATACACTACTACACAGGACACTAAATTAAAAAAACTCATCTCTTTAGAACTGCCTGTTGTTGAGTTTACCCGTGACGGCAACGACCAACCCTGTCCCCCTGTCCCTCTCTCTCTCTCCCTGTCTTGCTCACCGCGGCCACCTGGTGCTGGAAGGTGATCCTCTTGTCCTTGGCCGCCAGAGCAATCTGCCCCAGAGCAGCGCTGGCAGCGTGAACTCTGTACGGAGTGAGCTGTGCGCTGCTGGTCTGAGCGGTGAGCTCCCACAGCAGGATGGGCACGGCCTTCTGCACCGTTTCTTTTGACTCGTTCTGCAATTCCTGCGAGGTGGTGGTGGTGGTAGGGGGGTGAGAGATGTGTAGTGGTGTAGTGTATAGTGTAGTATATGATAGTGTAGTGTAAGTAGTGTAGTGTATAGTAGGGTAGTGTATCGTAATGTAGTGTATAGTGTAGTACTGTAGTGTATAGTAGTGTAGAGTGTAGGAGTGTAGTGTATAGTAATATAGCATGTAGTGGTGTAGTGTATAGTGGTGTAGTGTAAAGTTTAGCATGTAGTGGTGTGGTGTATAGTGAATAGTTGTGTAGTATACAGTGTAGTGTATAGTGCTGTGTATAGTGTAGTGTATAGTAGTAGTGTAGCATGTAGTGGTTGTAGTGTATAGTGGTGTAGTATATAGTCTAGTGTTTAGTGGTGTAGTGTATAGTGGTGTAGTGTATAGTGTAGTGTATAATAGTGTAAGATATAGTAGTGCAAGGTCTGGAGTGTAGTGTATAGTGTAGTGTATGGTAGTGTATAGTACGTGTAGCGTGTAATGGTGTATAGTGTAGTGTATGGTAGTGTATAGTACGTGTAGCATGTAATGGTGTAGTGACCGCAGCTCTTTCGCCAGCATTGCCTCTTAATACCTCTCACACCACGGTTAATGGTATAGTTTTACAATATGGAGCATACTAGGGCCTCGCAGCTGTCTCTCCCCCTCCTCTGTTCCGACCATGGACGAACTCGTCCGTCTGAACGGGGCCCGTGGTGCTGAAATTTGAGGGTAAGAATCCACCCATTTTTTCGCCATATAGCATTGTGATATATAACGACTTATTGTTGGTAGCTTAGCTGATTGGAGAATATAGAGTTTATTGATAACATGAAGGTAATTTATATTTTAGTTTTTATTGGTTCACTATATAGTCCTGTGAATAGCTCAGATGTGTAGTCATTTCTGTGACCAGTCACTAGCTAATCACTCAGTTTCAATGCTGGATTCGCCTAGTTATTTCAATGCTAAATTCTCCTGTTTGATTTGTACTAAGGGCCTCGGTGAATGTGTATGCTCTGACTTTAACGTAGCTATTTCTAAAGCAGGTACAAGCTCTATTTCTGCAGCAGGTACAAGCTAATCAGTCAGCTATCTCAATGCTAAATTCTATGCTAATTCCATTGTCAAGATGTGTATGCCTTAACTTAGCTATTTCAATGCTAAATTCTATGCTAATCCCTTTAACAATGGGTGCCTCTGCGGGTGTGTATGCTTTAACTTTTAACATAGCTATTTCTGTGACCAGTCACAAGCTAATCATTCAGCCATTTCAATGCTAAATTATATGCTAATTCCTTTGTCAAGGCGCTTTGTTCCTCTCACACAGCTTAAAGGCCGTATCTGAACGTGGCTCTTTCACTCCAGCGCTGTCCTACCAGACAGTCTCGCCCCCTTCACCTGATGAAGGCCGCTTGTGTTGTGGCCGAAACGTCGTGAGAATATTATTGTGTTATTTTATTTTATCAATTTATTATTTTATTATCATTCTACGTGACTTTACCGAAAGAACCAAAGAAGATAGTTTATAGTAGTGTAGTGCATAGTAGTGTAGTATATTGTAGTGTATAGTAGCGTAGCGTGTAGTGGTGTAGTGTAGTGTATAGGAGTGTGGCGTGCTGTGGTGTAGTCTATAGTGTAGCGTATAGTAGTATAGTATTTAATGGTGTAGTGCATAGTATTATAGTGTATAGTAGTTTAGTGTATAGCAGTATAGTGTATAGGAATGTAGCATGTATTGGTGTAGTGTAGTGTATAAGGACGTTTGGTATGTAGTATATAGTATACTTCAGTGTATAATGCAGTGTATGAACTTATTTTGCACCGTACATGGCCAACCATGCTAATCGGAGGTGTGCGGGAAGGACAACAAACTTAACACAACAACAACAACAAAAAGCAGTTCTAAATAAAGTATTTTACAATCTTCACCACTCTTGGCCCAGATCAACAAAATCAATTCTGTCTCATCCAAAAGTAAAAATCACAAATTGCAACAACCACACAATAGTACTTGAGTGCAATACAATTACATGATCGCGATGCAATGTCTCAGGCTGTGGGTCTGTGTCTGAATCTAATTGGTCTCTGCGCCATTCAATCGGTTTCGATGTGGGTCAATGGGTCACTGTGTGAGTCTATGGGTCTTTGTGTGGGTCTAAGTGTCTAGAATATATGCGTCTCTGTGCGAGTCTATGAGTCTCTGTGCGAGTGTCTGTGATGGATGTGGATGGAGCGGTAGTGTAGCGGTTAACGCTACGCTGTGCTACAAACCCAGCGAACCGGGTTCGATTCCCGTTCACGGCGAACACCAGTAACGATTATCTGAAGCAGTCGTGGGCCTCCCCTAGGTCGACTCAGCCGCAAATTAGTACATAGTGCGGTGTGTAAACATCACCACTGTGGAGACAAAGGAGGGCCGTGTGTGGTGTTGGCCACCAACTCCTTGCATTCTGTGCCGGCCTTTATAGGTGTTCGCTAACATCACTTGCCACAACAGTCTTGTTACAACTATACGGGATTCTTTGTCCTTTGTCTTTGTGGTTATGGTAGTAATAATGATGTGGTGGTGATGGAGGAAATAGCGGAGTAAAGTTGTTGATGACGAAGGTGGTGGCAGTTGCCCTCCAGCAACAACAGAGGGAAGAGGAGCGATGCTCACAACAACAAGCGGAACACCAGGTGGATAAAACGCCAGCGAGTTGGCACAGTAGGGGGGACAGGTGATACATCGACCAGTCATCTAAGTCAGTCAACTCATGGCACGTGGGTCTCTCCCGTGACTCCCTGCCAGTGAGCCTTCGACACTTTATGTGGCCTTAAAGTGCACATAGTTGGCACAAGTGCCCTGGTAACGTCAGTGCAACTTATGGCGAATGGTGGTTGTTCTTGTTGATCGTAGTGGTGGTGGTGATTGTGGTGGTGCTCACCTTGGATTGATTGAAGATGTATTTAAGCCTCTCAGTGGTACCGTCAGTGGCCGTACCTGCGGGCAGTGGTCAACGGGTCATCTACTGGCCATCAACAGTACATCAACGGGACATCAACAATACATCGACAGGACATCGACGGGACATCAAAAGAACATCAGCGGGTCATTAACAGAACATCGATGGGACATCATCGGTACACCAACAATATATCAACGGAACATCAACAGGACTTTAACAGGATATTGACGGAACATCAACGGGACATCGATGAGACAGGGACATCAACAAGACATCGACGGGACAGCAGATAAAGGCTTTGTCAGCCTCCTCATTCTGATAGATCTCGGCTCGGCATTTGACCCCATTGATCACAGGCTTCTCCTTGAGCGACTGGAAGTTTCAATGGGGATCTCTGACATAGTTTTGTTGTGGTTCTCCTCTTAATTAAAGAATCGTAGGTACTACGTTACAAAGGATGGCTTCAAGTCACAAATTAGACCGGTTCTCTGATGTTTTCCACAGGAATCTTTGCTAAGCCCATCACTTTTTAGCATCTACATGGCACCATTGGGTATTCTGCTCCCACATCTTGGCCTATCCTACCTTTACTATGCAGTACGACTAGGTCCAGACTATGCAACAGCATCTTCTGCGCTATCTGCATCACTAACAGTAGTGAATTCATGGTTGCACCAAAACTTTTGCTAGAAAATCCCAACAAGACCAAAGTCATATTCAACGGCTCCCCTCTGCATATTTATAAAATTGGTTTGCTTTGTCAGTCCTACACGGGATGTCAGAAACCTTGGTGATCAGTTTGAACAGTCATTATCCTTTGAGGCACATATGGTGGTTAAAAAGTCAGTTTTCCACCTAAAAAATATTGGCAGAATGCATCACTTCCTGTCACCTGCTGACTTGGAGAGACTGGTCCATGCTGTTGTGTTATCCCGAATCGACAACTGCAACTCCGTTATTGGTGGGATACAGAGCAAAGTCCTGGATACACTGCAACTTGTTCAGAATGCAGCTGCTAGAGTGCTCACACACAATTCTGTGAGCACATTAAACCATTTTTCGATTTAAAGCTTTCGTGACTGCAAGGATTCATCTTCTTTGGTTCTTTCGGTAAAGTCACGTAGAATGAGAATAAAATAATAAATTGATAAAATAAAATAACACAATAATATTCTCACGACGTTTCGGCCACAACACAAGCGGCCTTCATCAGGTGAAGGGACGAGACTGTCTGGAGGACAGCGCTGGAGTGGCGATTTATTATTTTATTTTCATTCTACGTGACTTTACCGAAAGAACCAAAGAACACATTAAACCAGTCCTCTTCTCACTTCAGGCTTTAAAAGGGCTCAACCCACATTACTTAAGATCTTCTGATCTCCAGCTACTCAATATTTCAGGTCGAGGTTGCACTCTTTTGGTGATGAAGGCTCTCATTACTTTGATAGTGCCTTCTGGCGTCATGTAGTCGAGCACCAATTGGGTTGAGGCTCAAAAGAAAGCCGTCCCTTTGTGTGGACCAATCAGTTTCAAGGACAATGCATATATTATCATAGTATGCTTTTGTTTGCATTTTGACTGCAGGTATTGTGGTTAATGCAGACATGAATCCTTGTAAAAAGGTTTCAGTTTTGTTGCCAGAAAAAAGGGGAAAAACCCTATTATTACATTTTGGTACTGGCAAAGGAGGTCTAATAATGTAGATGCTCACCCCGAGCCCTCATTACTTTGATAGTGCATTGTCTTTGAGCTGTACGCCTTTTGGCGTCATGTGGTCGAGCACCAATTGGGTCGAGGCTCAAAAGAAAGCCGTCCCTTGGTGTGGACCAATCAGTTTAAAGGACAATGCATATATTATCATAGTATGCTTTTTGTTTGCATTTTGACTGCAGGTATTGTGGTTAATGCAGACATGAATCCTTGTAAAAAGGTTTCAGTTTTGTTGCTAGAAAAAAGGGGAAAACCCCTATTATTACATTTTGGTACTGGAAAAGGAGGTCTAATGATGTACCAGTGCTGATGCGCATGATAGCGTTTGGCCATGCCTGTGTGTTACGACCTTGACCAGACAGGCGTACAGGATTCTCCTGCTAAGAACGAGAGTACAAGTGCTGAGGCACGGAGGGTGGTGGTATATGCGCCCTATGTTGAGCCAGCTAGTTTGGAGATGAGGTTGTTCCTGGTTTTAACCTTGGCTGGTGTTGTTCTCAGGTGCTCCCGGATGGTTAGTGTCCTGTCCAGCATCAACCCGAGGTATGTGGGGGTTGGGTGGTGCATTAGCTTGAAGTTGTTCATCTGGATGTTAAGCTCTTGATTGGCCTTTGCATTGTAGAGGTGGAATACACTGGACACAGTTTTTGCAGGGCTTGATTTGAGTCGCCATGTTTTGCAGTATTGTTCAGTTTTGCTGTATCCTCGTTATGTGTCTGATCCAGGGTGTCGAAGTTGAGAGCTTGTGCTGCCAGGCAGATGTCGTCAGCGTGTATGATTTTTCGGGAGGCGTTTTTTGGTAGTTAATTTGTGTAGATGTTGAACAGAGTGAGGGCCAGCACTGAGCCTTGAGGGAGGTCGTTGGTGTGTCTCTTCCATGTGCTCTTTGCCTCTTCGAGGTGAAGTCTGCAACGTCTGTTTCTCATTAGTGCGATGATGATTTTGGTTTCCCAGTCGGGGAGGGACCGTGACAGCTTCAGGAGGAGGCCAGTGCATCAGATGCTGTCATAGGAGCTGTGAGGTCGAAGAAGACAGCTCCTGTTTTCAGGTTTTTTTGGAAGCCATTTTCCATGTAAGTGGTGGGGGCCAGAACGTGTTATGCTGTGCTGTGTGGCCCTTGCAGAAGCCAGCCTGTTCCACGCTGAGGATGTCTTTAGCGGCAGGGGATATGCGATGCAGAATGAGGTGTTCGAAGATTTTGTAGGGAACTGATAGGAGAGAGATCGGGCTGTAGCTGGCTGCATTTGTGGAGCATTTTTACCTAGTGTTGGTGTGGCGAATACTTTTTCTGTCCGCTATTTATTTGGGATGGTGTTGGAATTTACAACCATGTCGTAAAACCGTGTAAGCCAGGTGAGAGGTCGGGCCCCCAAGTGTTTAATTAATTCTGGCCGGATGTTGTCGTATCCTGCTAAATTGCCATTATTTAGGCCCTGTATCACCTTCAGGAATTATTTGATCTCAAAAGGGGTAGAGACTGCTGTGTCCTCTGTGCTTTAAACGCCGTTTACGCACTACACTACACTATACACTACATAACCACACTATACACTACACAGCTACACAACTACACTATACACTACATCATACAATGCACTACACAACTACACTATCTTATTATATATAAAATACATTTTTGTCAGTCTGTCTCTCTGTCTGCCTTACTTGTAATACTTTAAACGGACGAACTATTGGGTTTACATTTTAACAAAGTACACAAATGCAATAAACTAAGCCCCTGGATGAACACTTGCTATTATTTTTTGTTGCCCTAAAGTACAATCTTAACTCAGAAAATAAAACCTCGTAGAATGTATGCTAACCTCTCCTAAAATGCGCTATTGTGCGGTCTTCAAATGGTCAATAATTGAGTCACATGGTAAAGCAGCACACATCTGCACATGCGCGGAACGCCAACTCGCATTTGCACCCAGCAACGCAAATACACTTGCTTAGCGATGGGAGGTTGTTGACAAAAAAAATGCCAAAAAGTAAAAAAAAACAAGCCTCTCCAAGACAAAAACGAATACAAAGAGAGTGGCAGCACTTTAAATTTCGATTTCAAGCTTTCGCGACTGCAATGATTCATCTTCTTTGGTTCTTTCGGTAAAGTCACGTAGAATGAGAATAAAATAATAAATTGATAAAATAAAATGAAATTTATTATTTTATTCTCATTCTACGTGACTTTACCGAAAGAACCAAAGAAGAAAAAGTGGCAGCACTGTCTATAACAAAACAAACAGTGGAGGGGCCAGCAGCTGTCTCAACAGCAAGCAAACAACGAATGCGCCTCAGCAGCAAACGCTAAGGCAACTCCAGAGCAGCATGCATGGAAACACGCCAGAAACTGCACAGTTACTCCTGCAGTTGGCCGAGTTCGATTGATGTGTGGTTGGCTGTTTCCCTGCTATCATCCACTTAGTTTGCTGAGTTTGATTGATGGCGATTGGCTGTGGCTCTGCTATCATCCAATCAGTGGGCTGAGTTTTATTGATGTCTGATTGTCTGTGGCTCTGCTGTCATCCGCTTAGTGGGCTGAGTTTGATTGATATCTGATTGGCTGTGGCTCTGCTATTATCCAATCAGTGGGCTGAGTTTGATTGATGTCTGATTGGCTGTGGCTCTGCTTTCATCCACTTTGTGGGCTGAGTCTTCTACTGGGTGGGAGACAGGAAAGTGTCATCACTAAGCATGCACATCATGGATCAATCGTTTGTATTCGTTCATTAACAAACTCAATTCTCTTAAGTAAATTTTACACGTTTGATTTCTTGGCATTGAGATCCGTGGAAATACCTACTATAATCACCCAGAAATGTCTGTCCTTAACCCTCGTGACGTCAAACCACATCAACCAGCCCCCCTCATTAATATTCATGAGTAGGTGACATATTCCCATTGGACACCCCCCCCCCCCCCCCATTATTATTAGCTACTATAATGAGCCAATAATGTCTGTGTACAACGCTCGTGACGTCACTCCACGTCGACCTGCCCCCTCATTAATAATTATGAGCAGGTGACGTCACTCCACATTGAGCACCCTCCCCCCTCATTAATAATCATGAGAAGGTGACGTCAGTCCACATCGAACAGCCCCCCTCATTAATAATCCTTAACAGGTGACGTTCTCCAAATTTACACTCCTCCGTTCATAATTATTAGCGGCTGACGTCACTCCACATGGGGGTCCGAGGCGCCTCCTCCCCCCTCCTCGGCGTCAACTTACAACCCTCACTACAAAGGCAGAATGCTCACGTCACGAATCTCCGTAACGCTATTGAGACATCAAAGTAAAAAGGAAGTGTTGATGAACAAGGGATTATAACCTTAAAATGAAATAGGTCTGTGTCACCGCGCCATTACAAAATGCACATTAATGCAACGAATATCACGTCGCGGTCTGCTTTTCGCTTGCAAGTTTCAGATTTACTGCAATACACCTGCCCTTGGACGGGCAAAAGGCCTGTAGTTAATATTTTTGGATTATCGGTCATGTTTTAATTATCCGCGTTGTCCTCCCCATCGTTCGTGTGGATAATCGAGAAATGTAGAGTGCGTATATATTTAGTGACTTGCTCCCCATTGTCTCTATTTTGAACTCATATCGTTCCTTGTTTGTGTGTTGTGTTTTCTGTTGTAAATATTTCTTACTCCGTACCCCATACTGGACATCCATAGTAAACAAACAGCGTCATGGCTCATCGGATAAATGAAGGTTCACCCTGGTCTACCAATCCCTTCACGGTCTTGCCCCACCATTGTATCTTTCTCTGTGTCGCCTTCTTGCCCTCAGCGTTCTCAATGTTTGCTATTTCTCTATTTCTGTTTCTCCTCCTGCTTGTGCTGAATTAATGCTTTCGCTCTTTCTCTTCTTGCACAACCCTTCACTAGAACAAACTTCTCTGTCTCCACGTTAAGCAGTCACCTTCGCTCACTAAGTTTTCACTCCTCACTCAAAACGCATACTTACAGTGACTCCTCTACTTACGAACAAGTGACTTAAGAACTTTCAGAGATATGAACAAACCTAGACCGTATGTCCAGTTGCCTGTTGGGAACCAAGAGTTGATCCTCTGTGCAATAAATGGCACTGGTGGCATCTTCATCTGCAGAACATTAAAAACCAGTCGCATCTACATCTCCAGAACATGAAGAACTAGTGGTATCTACGTCTGCATAAAGTGAGGAACCACTGGCATATACATCTTCAGAACACGAAGAACCAGTGGCATCTACATCTGTAGAACATAAACAACCAGTGAAATTTACATCTGCAGAACACGAAGAACCAGTGGCATCTACATCTACAGGATATTGTAAAACGTTTAAAGCCATTCCCCGTGTTTAATGTACATGCTGTAAAACATGTTTGGAAACAACAGGAGTAATGTTGGACTTATCAACAAATAGATTTACCAACAGAGCTCTGAAATCTAACTCGTTTGTAAGTAGAGGTATCCCTTCATTAGACCTCCTTTGCCAGTACCAAAATGTAATAACAGGGGTTTTCTCCTTTTTTCTGCCAACAAAACTGAAACCTTTTACAGAGATTCATGTCTGCATTAACCACAATACCTGCAGTCAAAATGCAAACAAAAAACATACTATGATAATATATGCATTTTTCGATTTAAAGCTTTCGTGACTGCAATGATTCATCTTCTTTGGTTCTTTCGGTAAAGTCACGTAGAATGAGAATAAAATAATAAATTGATAAAATAAAATAACACAATAATATTCTCACGACGTTTCGGCCACAACATAAGCGGCCTTCATCAGGTGAAGGGACGAGACTGTCTGGTAGGACAGCGCTGGAGTGAAAGAGCCACGTTCAGATCACGACCTTTAAGCTGTGTGAGAGGAAACAAAGCGCCTTGACAAAGGAATTAGCATATCATTTAGCATTGAAATGGCTGAGTGATTAGCTTGTGACTGGTCACAGAAATAGCTATGTTAAAAGTTAAAGTATACACATCCGCAGAGGCACCCCTTGACAAAGGAATTAGCATAGAATTTAGCATTGAAATAGCTGAGTGATTAGCTTGTAACCGGTCACAGAAATAGCTACGTTGACGTCAGAGCATACACATTCACCGAGGCACTTAGTACAAATCAAACAGGAGAATTTAGCATTGAAATAACTAGGCGAATTTAGCATTGAAATAACTGAGTGATTAGCTAGTGACTGGTCACAGAAATGACTATGTTGAAGTCAAGGCCTACACATCTGAGCTATTCACAGTACTATATAGTGAACCAATAAAAAACTAAAATATAAATTACCTTAATGGTATCAATAAACTCTATATTCTCCAATCAGCTAAGCTACCAACAATAAGTCGTTATATATCACAATGCTATATGGCGAAAAAAAAATGGGTGGATTCTTACCCTCAACTTTAGCACCACGGATAGCTTGCGACTCTAAGCTTGTGTTGTGGCCGAAACGTCGTGAGAATATTATTGTGTTATTTTATTTTATCAAATTATTATTTTATTCTCATTCTACGTGACTTTACCGAAAGAACCAAAGAAGAATATATGCATTGTCCTTGAAACTGATTGGTCCACACCAAGGGACGGCTTTCTTTGTTTGGTGTGGACCAATCAGTTTCAAGGACAATGCATATATTATAATAGTATGTTTTTTGTTTGCATTTTGACTGCAGGTATTGTGGTTAATGCAGACATGAATCCTTGTAAAAGGTTTCAGTTTTGTTGCCAGAAAAAAGGGGAAAACCCCTATCATTAGAGGTATCCCTGTATTGTCCACTAGCTCACCCCACAACCCCCCTTAATCTCACCCTCATAACCACTTCCTCTTCTATCCCTCCTTCATATTCTCATTACACAGCTACCACTAGTCAACCCCATTCATACAATCCATTTCTCATCATTTACTGCCATTAATTTACCTTTCACCGAATCCACGCAGCATCACCATCATCACAGATTCGCCTCCCATTGCTTCCTCTCATCTACCTCATTCACCTCATCTCCAACATCACGTTGATATGTTAATACCCTTTTTAATGCTGTGTAAAACGCGTTGGTTAAGGCACTATATACATTCCTTAAAGATAAGAAGAGATTCTGACTCTGAATAAAGTGACGACGTATGTTTACCATTGAAATCCAGTTGACCATGGAAGTCCAGTTTACCATGGAAGTCCAGTTTACTGTGGAATTCCAGTTTACCATAAGAGTCTAGATTACCATGGAAGTCCAGTTTAACACAAAGGCTTTCACAACCGATAAAATCCATAATGGAGATACTGGGGTAGATCGCCAACACCACCCGACACAGCCAATTAGCAAGGTTTGTCGCATAAACAAAACATTCCAATTCGTTACTAGTTCAGTACACGGGCGTGTTGCAGAGTAAAGCCCACAACATTGACCATCCATCTGACTCTCCGCCTGATGTTGCTAGTTGTAATAACCGGCGAAACGACACAGTACTCGAATTATAAATGTTGTAGTGGGTTTACTCTCCAACACCCAACCAGTTAGTGCAGTACTAGTAACCAATTGTCCACGTTTTGTTCACATGACAAACCCCTTACTGATTGTCTGTGTCAGGTGGTGGTGGCGGGTTTAACGACACATTGATATTTACGCGATCAAACCCAGCAAAAAAAACTCTATTGTGGATGGCGACGTACTTGTGGAAACGACGATAAACCGGTGGGGGAGATACGTAGTACAGGGGGGAGAGATATTTCTGCATTATATTGTGATGGTGTCAGCTCTGTTGAAAGCCACCCTCCTCTGCCATACCGTTGACGTTGAAGGATCGGCTGACTCGTATTGCAGACGCAATCAGAGCATCGATGGCAACGGAGGTCATGGTGATGACCTCCGTGGCGGTGAGATTGTAGCCACTGACCTCCACGAATGCCAGGACACTGCCAGACCTGAGAGAGAGAGAGAAAGACAACGTCGCATGGGTGATGGTATTACGATTAATTTGTGAGGTGGGTGAACGGGTTAGGTAAGCGGGTAAGGTCGTGGGAAGGTGGGTGAGTAAATGAGTGGGTGGGTGAGTCAGTGAGTTAGTGGGTTAGTGAGTGGATGAGTGGGTGGGTTAAAGATGGATTTAATGGGTTACTAATTGAGTGTGTTAGCTTGTGGGTTGCTGAGTGGATCAGTGAGTTGGAGAATGGGTTAGTGGGTGGGTTAGTGAGTAAGTGAGTGAGTGGGTGAGTGAGTATATACATGAATATGAGACAGATAGGAGTCTAGGAATAACCAGTGGAATGGGAGACACGCATGGATGGAGGGTCCACAGTAGGACGGCTAGGAGATTATTAACTAACTATACATTACCTAGAACTAACTATAACTTCGTTTCTTCACCAGGTAAGGTCCACTGACCTATGTAGCTCTTTTTCAGAAGCGACCTGGCCACAAATAATAGGTCAGTGAAGAGGCTTATCACGTGGACATGTATGGCATCAGCCAAATACTCTAAACGCTTGTTTCTAAATGTGGAGAGAAAACCCGATGGAACAGTAGAAAAATCCACACGACCACAGAGAGAGACACACAGACTCCGAATATACAGCAGGCAGTATGGTTGGGATCGAACTCACGACTTCCTGTGTACCAGGCGAGGTAATTAACATCTCCTAGCCACCGTGGTGTCAGTGTCAGGATCAAACCCATAACCTCCTGTATACCAGGCGAGGTAGTTAACATATCCTAACCACCACAGCCTGAGCAGTGCTGAGTCTATTGTGCAGTGTTGGGTCTATTGTGCAGTGTTGGATCTATGGTGCAGTGTTGGGTCTATGGTGCAGTGTTTGGTCTATGGTGCAGTGGTGTTCGATGCACAGGGGAAGTTGATTCCAGTGAAGGGAGCACAAGGATCGAGATGGGACCTGAACAATACTCACTCAAAGTTTGTGATCGCAGCTTTAACGAAACGGGATCCAATATTCTGATAGGATCTGGATAGCTGTAAAATGGAAGGAAAGTCATCGTCGTCAACCACATCAGTGTCACAGGGTACATCCCAGCCAAACAGCATTGCAGGGCAGGGCCATTACAGTACCGGGGAGTGTCCACCAGCTTTTTGCCGAACCTCGCCGAAGCGATTCGCATAATAAACTATAAACGACATGATAAATAAACTAAACAAAACGTGTATAATACATTAGACACTATACACTACATATATAAGGCACTTGTTATCACCACTGAACACTACGACTCCTATCACCACTGAACACTACGACTCCTATCACCACTGAACCCTACGACTGCTACCATCACTGAACACTACGACTGCTATCATCACTGAACACTACGACTCCTACCATCACTGAACACTACGACTCCTATCACCACTGAACACTACGACTCCTATCATCAATGAACACTACGACTGATATCACCACTGAACACTACGACTGCTATCATCACTGAACACTACGACTCCTATCACTACTGAACACTATGACTGATATCATCACTGATCACTACGACTGCTATCACCACTGAACACTATGACTGCAATCACAACTGAACACTACGACTCCTATCACCACTGAATATTACGACTGCTATCATCACTGAACACTGCGACTCCTATCATCACTGAACACTGCGACTGCAATCACCACTGAATACTACGACTGATATCATCACTGAACACTACGACTGATATCATCACTGAACACTATGACTGCTATCATCACTGATCACTATGACTCCTATCACCACTGAACACTACGACTGATATCATCACTGAACACTATGACTCCTATCACCACTGAACACTACGACTGATATCATCACTGAACACTTCGACTCCTATCACTACTGAACACTACGACTCCTATCATCACTGAACACTACGACTCCTATCACCACTGAACCCTACGACTGCTATCATCACTGAACACTACGACTGCTATCATCATATAGGGCAGTGGGCTTTTACCTGGTGAAATAAAACCTCGTTTTAGTTCATAGGTCGCAGATCACTTACACTGGGTAGGAGTTTGTCCGACATGCTCTTGTGGGCCATCGAGTTGGGGTCATTCAACGCAGAGTTGAAGACTTCTTCTACTGTCAGTGTCATATGGAATGTCTTGAGGTCTGTGGGAGATACAGACAAAGATCACCCGTGTGGACTTATTTTGACCCCCTGCTGATTTTGTACGTTTGCCCACTGACAAAGAAATGATCAGACAGAATAACAACAACAAAAAATCCAGAAAAACGCATGTCAAAAATGTTATAAATTGATTTGCATTTTAACGAGGGAAATAAGTATTTGACCCCTCTGCAAAACATGACTTAGTACTTGGTGGAAAAATCCTTGTTGGTAATCACAGAGGTCAGACGTTTCTTGTAGTTGGCCACCAGGTTTGCACACATCTCAGGAGGGATTTTGTCCCACCCCTTTTTGCAGATCTTCTCCAAGTCATTAAGGGTTTGAGGCTGACGTTTGGCAACTCGAACCTTCAGCTCCCTCCACAGATTTTCTATGGGATTAAGGTCTGGAGACTGGCTAGGCCACTCCAGGACCTTAATGTGCTTCTTCTTGAGCCACTCCTTTGTTGCCTTGGCCGTGTGTTTTGGGTCATTGTCATGCTGGAATACCCATCCACGACCCATTTTCAATGCCCTGGCTGAGGGAAGGAGGTTTCACCAAAGATTTGACGGTACATGGCCCCGTCCATCGTCCCTTTGATGCGGTGAAGCTGTCCTGTCCCCTTTGCAGAAAAACACCCCCAAAGCATGATGTTTGCACCTCCATGTTTAACGGTGGGGATGGTGTTCTTGGGGTCATAGGCAGCATTCCTCCTCCTCCAAACACGGCGAGTTGAGTTGATGCCAAAGAGCTCAATTTTGGTCTCATCTGACCACAACACTTTCACCCAGTTGTCCTCTGAATCATTCAGATGTTCATTGGCAAACTTCAGACGGGCATGCACATGTGCTTTATTGAGCAGGGGGACCTTGCAGGCGCAGCAGGATTTCAGTCCTTCACGGCGTAGTGTGTTACCAATTATAATATATATGAATCCTTGTAAAAAGGTTTCAGTTTCGTTGCCAAAAAAAAGGGGAAAAACCCTATTATTACATTTTGTTACTGGCAAAGGAGGTCTAATGATGTAGATGCTCACCCCGAGCCCTCATTACTTTGATAGTGCATTGCCTTTGAGCTGTACGCCTTCTGGCGTCATCTGGTCGAGCACTAATTGGGTCGAAGCTCAAAAGAAAGCCATCCCTTGGTGTGGACCAATCAGTTTCAAGGACCATGCATATATTATCATGGTATGGTTTTTGTTTGCATTTTGACTGCAGGTATTATGGTTAATGCAGACATGAATCCTTGTAAAAAGCTTTCAGTTTTGTTGCCAGAAAAAGGGGAAAAACCCTATTATTACATTTTGGTACTTGCAAAGGAGGTCTAATGATGTGATGTATTACCAATTGTTTTCTTGGTGACTATGGTCCCAGCTGCCTTGAGATCATTGACAAGATCCTCCCGTGTCGTTCTGGGCTGATTCCTCACCGTTCTCATGATCATTGGAACTCCACGAGGCGAGATCTTGCATGGAGCCCCATGCCGAGGGAGATTGACAGTTCTTTTGTATTTCTTCCATTTGCGAATAATCACACCAACTGTTGTCACCTTCTCACCAAGCTGCTTGGCAATGGTCTTGTAGCCCATTTGAGCCTTGTGTAGGTCTACAATCTTGTCCCTTACATCCTTGGAGAGCTCTTTGGTCTTGGCCATGGTGGAGAGTTTGGAATCTGATTGATTGATTGCTTCTATGGACAGGTGTCTTTTATACAGGTAACAAGCTGAGATTAGGAGCACTCCCTTTAAGAGTGTGCTCCTAATCTCAGCTCGTTACCTGTATAAAAGACACCTGGGAGCCAGAAATCTTTCTGATTGAGAGGGGGCCAAACACTTATTTCGCTCATTAAAATGCAAATCAATTTATAACATTTTTGACATGCGTTTTTCTGGATTTTGCTGTTGTTATTCTGTCTCTCACTGTTCCAATAAACCTATCATTAAAATTTTAGAATGATCATTTCTTCGTCAGTGGGCAAACGTACAAAATCAGCAGGGGATCAAATACTTCTTTCCCTCACTGTACCATGCTATTGGGGCAAGTGCTGTTAATAGCGGGTAGCAACAGCGCCTCTGAAGGCCGAAACCGTGGCTCACGAGGGAGTGGGTGGCCAGCACCACGCCCACCCAGCAGCCTTTGTCTCCACAGTGGCGATGTTTACTAAACACCACCGCAACAGGTACTTATTTGAGGTTGAGTATGGGGGTGAATATACAACAAGAAATAGCGGTGACATCACCACGGCACTTGTACCAATCCAGGTGCACTTTCTTTAGTGGCAGATATATATACACAGTACAGGGGTGAACATACAAATTATATTATATTATGAGACCTCCTTTTGCCAGTAACAAGATATATAAATAGGTTTTACCCTTTTAACTGGCACAAAAACTGACACATTTATTCAAGGCATCATGTTTGTAATAACCACAACACAAGCAGTCAAAATGCAAACAAAAGAGACAACTCTGATAATAGGGTAAAACCTATTTCTATATCTTGTTACTGACAAAAGGAGGTCTCATAATGTAAATGCTCACCCCGAGCCCTCAATACTCTGATAGTGCGCTGTTTTTGAGTTGTACGCCTTTTGGCGTCTTCTGGTCCAACACCAATGGAGACTAGGCTCTAAGAAAAGCCATCTCGGGTGTGGACCAATCAAATTCAAGGACAGTGCATATTATTATCAGAGTTTTCTCTTTTGTTTGCATTTTGACTGCTTGTGTTGTGGTTATTGCAAACATGATGCCTTGAATAAAGGTGTCAATTTTTGTGCCAGTTAAAAGGGTAAAACCTATTTCTATACAAACTCTACTCATTCACTCTCACACTGTATAACAGATAGAGATCATACGAACGACACTTACTCGTTAGAACAGAGGGATATCATACAAAATCCACTCACTCACTGTAGAACAGGAGGGGATAATACAAACTCCACACTGAAAGGTGTCTGAGAAGGGAATAGAATGCAGCCCCATTGTTAATGTGAGACGCCAATGTCACCACTGTCGTGGCCTCCTCTGTGCCAACTGCCTCACCTTGGAGATTGAGGGAACTGCTTGCTTGAGTTGACCTGACGGTTGTTATTGCTTTGTTCATGACCCAAGTGGTGTCAGTGAGGTTGGCGGTGGTCCACAGTGGCCGGGGATTTCGCTTGGGCATGCACTCAATCTCTGCCGGCGGTATCCCAAAGATGCACGTGCAGGAGGACGAGGACGCGTCAGTCCAAGAGTCGCAGGCTCCCACCTGTCGACAAACCGCCTTGGTCCAAAAAAACCCGGCCCTGCAGTAGCAACACATCTGGGGCATGGTCACACACCCTGAGTAGATGGGGGGGGGGGAGGCAAGAGAAGAGAGAGAGAGACGATGATGCTGGTGGTGGTGGGGAGCGGTGGTTCCGCAGTTAGTGCACTGTGCTAGGAACCCGGCGACCCAAGTTCGATTCCCGCTCACGGCCAATACCAGTGACAATTATCCATACTGGTCCTGGTCCTCTCCTAGGCCGACTCAGCCTGAATGAGTACCTGGTGCGGCATGTAAACGGCATCGCTACTGGGGAAACAAAGGCAGTCGGGCGTGGTGTTGGCCACCCTTCCCCCTCGTGTGCCGTGCCAGCCTTCGGAAGTGCTCGCTAACAGCACTTGCCTCAACATTCTATTAAGGCTACACGGGGGATCTTTGTCTTGGTGGGAGGGGTGATGTTATTCAGAGACACCCACAAAATTTCCTTTGTACTTTAACGTCATTTTGCGCAGCGTGCTAACGTCCTCACTTAGACGCACAATGGTGGTGGCGGCGGTGGTAGTAGTGGTGGTTTGCACATGCAAATCGTTTTCCTGATAACGTGGTTTTATGCGGGAACACTTATCACTGAGAACAGGACGCGCACCGTTATAATGAGGTAGCATGCGCCACTGTAACACGGTCTCTGAGCGGTAATATCTTTAGAATTGCTTGTTGTTGCATTTTAGTTTATTGTCCTTCTCCCGCACCTCCGATTAGCATGACTTGCTACGTATGGTGCGAAATAAGTTCTACATACATATGTAGTGGGTTCAACTGTGTCGCACACGTTTGAGGCAGCGCATTTATTTAGTTAAAACACACGGGGTAAACTTTCCATTTACATAATAACAAACTAGTGTGGTGACCACCAATCACGTGACTCCCCTAGCCGCCTCTTGGGGGCCCCCCTGTCATTTTAACCAGCCATGTGTCCTCTCGGGTCAAATAGAGTGCCATTGCCTCACACGACCTTCCCCTTAGGTCGGCACATACACACCGTGCCCCTCAAGGGCCGGTACTGCACTCACTGCATGGTGACATCCAGCGATGTCGCTACACATACATATAAAGGCGAACTATTTTCTTCAGCAGCGTGGGTGAGCAGTATCCCACCGTCTTACTGTGTGTGTGCATAGTATATCGTATCCTGCCAAACTTTATTGTAACGATGTTTATAACGGTGAGACTGGTTTCCGCTTCACGTGTGTTTTTCGGCTTTAAGTAGAACTTCGCTTTTCAAGAAGCCATATTCTATATTATGGGACCTCCTTTGCCAGTAACAACATATTTTAATAGGTTTTGCCCGTTTTTTTCTGGCAACAAAACAGGTGTTAAGATTTTGATTTAAAGCTTTCGTGACTGCAGTAATTCATATTCTTAGTTTTTTCGGTAAAGTCACGTTGAAGAGAAACAACAAAATAACAAAATATATATAAAACAATAAAAAAATTCTCACGACGTTTCGACCATAACTCAAACGGTCATCATCAGGTGTGTCGGTTTGCATAAATTGATTTTGAAAACGGCATATTTATTTATATATTAAAAAAATAACGTTTGCGTCACGCGCAACGATGGCAGTTTGCCCAGGACTAGTCCATCTATTTTTTGAAAAGAGGAGGGGGGAGACGAAATTTGTTTTTATGTATGCTGTCTGAAAGCCACTGTAAGCGTGAACAATCAATCAAGAAGTGAAATGATTTATCAAATCTTTCCAATGATTGCTAAGATAGAATCCATCTTCTCGGTTGAAATTGTCTCTGTGTTTGTATATGTGGATAGCCTCATGAACGAATCTCTCATGGAAGCCAGATGGCTTACAAAGAACCTCCGTCTTGGAAAAGTCAATGGCATGTGAGCCTACTGAATTAGAACAATGATCTGCTACGGCCGAGGTGTTGGTCCTACCGTGTTTAAGGTCTGCTTTATGTTCACGAATGCGGTCCGAGATATGGCGTTTGGTTTCTCCAATGTAACTACTACCACAGAGGCAACTTAGTTTGTAGACACCAGGGTATTGTATGTCCGGAATCACATCTTTTACAGACGGAACCAGATCACGGATTTTATGTAATGTGTTGAAACGGACCTGGATCTTGTGTTTATTCAAGATTTTGGAGATCTTTTTTGTGATCCCAGCAATGTAGGGTAAAGTGATGGTTTTGACTATACAATCCGCAAAGCTATCACTCAAACCATGAAGAAGAACCCTCTTGAGGAGCCTTTCAAAACCATCACTTTACCCTACATTGCTGGGATCACAAAAAAGATCTCCAAAATCTTGAATAAACACAAGATCCAGGTCCGTTTCAACACATTACATAAAATCCGTGATCTGGTTCCGTCTGTAAAAGATGTGATTCCGGACATACAATACCCTGGTGTCTACAAACTAAGTTGCCTCTGTGGTAGTAGTTACATTGGAGAAACCAAACGCCATATCTCGGACCGCATTCGTGAACATAAAGCAGACCTTAAACACGGTAGGACCAACACCTCGGCCGTAGCAGATCATTGTTCTAATTCAGTAGGCTCACATGCCATTGACTTTTCCAAGACGGAGGTTCTTTGTAAGCCATCTGGCTTCCATGAGAGATTCGTTCATGAGGCTATCCACATATACAAACACAGAGACAATTTCAACCGAGAAGATGGATTCTATCTTAGCAATCATTGGAAAGATTTGATAAATCATTTCACTTCTTGATTGATTGTTCACGCTTACAGTGGCTTTCAGACAGCATACATAAAAACAAATTTCGTCTCCCCCCTCCTCTTTTCAAAAAATAGATGGACTAGTCCTGGGCAAACTGCCATCGTTGCGCGTGACGCAAACGTTATTTTTTTATATATATATAAATAAATATGCCGTTTTCAAAATCAATTTATGCAAACCGACACACCTGATGATGACCGTTTGAGTTATGGTCGAAACGTCGTGAGAATTTTTTATTGTTTTATATATATTTTGTTATTTTGTTGTTTCTCTTCAATGTGACTTTACCGAAAAAACTAAGAATATGAATATAGGTGTTAAGATGTTAAAACACCAAACTGAAACTGGTGTTTTATTATCTTAACACCTGTTTTGTTGCCAGAAAAAAGGGGAAAAATCTATTATCATGTTTTGGTTCTGACAGAGGAGGTCCCGTGATGTAGATGCTCACCCCGAGCTCTCATTACTCTGATAGTGCATTGTCTTTGTGCTGTACGCCTTTTGGCGTCCTCTGGTAACACCGTTTGAGACGAGGCTCAAAAGAAAGCTGTCTCTGGTGTGGACCAATCAGTTTCAAGGACAATGCATATGTAGCGCCATGGATGGGCTGCACTTGCAAGCAACGGCAGACAGCCCAAAAGCGGTTGGGGGCTGTGAGGGGTTCTAGGATCCCACGCAGCCCCTCCTAACAGTTGGGGGCTGTGGGGTGTTCTACGATCCCTCGCAAGCACTCCCAATGGCAGGGGGGCTGCGGCTGCACTGGCCTGCAACGGCAGACAGCCCAGAAGCGGTTGGGGGCTGTGGGGTATTCTGGGATCCCCCGCATCCCCTCACAACGGTGGGGGCTGTGGGGTGTTCTATGATCCCTCAGAGCCCCGCCCCTCGGCTGAGAAACGTATATAAGGCGGACCTCTGGAGAGGTTCTTGGCAGTTGAAGACCAAAGCCTGACGACCTGCTAGTGTAGGACCCTGGACCCATAACTTCGCAGTCCTTTTAAGGGCTGGAGCTCTGTGAGGCCAGTGGTGGACCCTGGGACTTCCTTACCTGCTGTCCTTATAAGGGCCAGGTCTGAGGAACCAGTGGTTGGACTTGTTCCTTGGCTGGGTCAGGTCAGACAGCCTCCCATAGGATATCATAGCCGGAGGACCTGGAGCGTAGCCAGGGTAGGCACGCTACGTAGGTGGCGTATGATAGGCTGGGTGGAAGAAATACATGGGATAGACTGTACGAGAAGTTGGTGTACAGTAGTTAGGGTGTGTGTGTGTGTAATAAAGACGTGCCCCCTACAAGTGTCTCCGGAGCACACTACACATATATTATCAGAGTATGTTTTTTTTGTTTACATTCTGACCACAAGCATTGTGGTTAATGCAGACATGATTCTTGTAAAAGGTTTCAGTTTGGTGTTTTAACATCTTAACACCTGTTTTGTTGCCAGAAAAAAGGGGAAAACCCTATTACCATATTCTGTAGCTCGTTAAATGAGGAGTCGCTGATCAGACAGTCACCGAGGTATGAACGTCCGACTTACGAATATCCCGCACTAATAAACATTCACACTTATGAACGTCCACACTTACGAACATCCACGCTTACGAACATCTGACTAACGAACGTCCACACTTATGAACGTCCGACTTACGAACGTCCACACTTATGAAAATCCGCACTTATGAAAGTCCACACTTACAAACGTCCGCACTTACGAACGTCCGCACTTATGAACGTCTGACTTATGAACGTCCACACTTATGAACGTCCGACTTATGAATGTCTGACTTATAAACGTCCGACTTATGAACGTCCACACTTATGAACGTCCGCACTTAGGAACGTCCGACTTATGAACGTCCACACTATGAACGTCCGACTTATGAACGTCTGACTTATGAACGTCCGACTTATGAACGTCCGACTTACGAACGTCCGCACTTATGAACATCCGCACTTACAAACGTCCACACTTATGAACTTCCGCACTTATGAACGTCTGCACTTATGAACGTCCGCACTTATGAACGTCCGACTTATGAACGTCCGACTTATGAACGTCCGATTTATGAACGTCCGCACTTATGAATGTCCGACTTATGAACATCCGCACTTATGAACGTCCGCACTTATGAACGTCCGACTTATGAACGTCCGACTTATGAACGTCCGACTTACGAATGTCCGCACTTATGAACGTCCGCACTTACGAACGTCTGCACTTACGAACGTCCGCACTTATGAACGTCCGACTTATGAACGTCCGACTTATGAACGTCCGACTTATGAACGTCCGACTTATGAACGTCCGACTTATGAACGTCCGA